GAACAGGTGGTGGCACCTCATGCGAGCTCGTACCCCGGTGTCCGTTAACATGTTGGCGGGGAAAGGCCCGGCCTGTGCCTACCGTACATACACACATAGATGTAGGTTATAGCCCCTCGCTTCGCTAGCCGGATGGAGGAGAAAGCTGCAGAGGTAGATGATGGGACGTATCCCAAGGGATTTGGGTGATTCTTCACGACACCAGCTTACTTTGTTCTGTCAAGAGTAGTATTCCTTGGGCAACCTTGGGTGAATTTCGCCGACATGTTGGCGTTGGGTGGACGCAGCGGAGAGTCGGTCCGGTGGCCAGTTCCATTCACTATGTGTCGTTCAGAGAGGGTCAAGTCATAACCGAACCATACGTGTAGGTAAAGACCGACACTTGCGGAATGGAACGTTTCCGAGACTGCTTCTATTTTGACGCTTGACACAAGTGCTCAGGTTTGGAAGTCTCCACAGCCAAACGGTATTTTAGCGACCATTCCCGCAACCACCCTAGCCTCGCCACGACGAATGTCTCATTATCCACCCCTCTCCGATGGGTGAGAGAAGGCTCGAAAGGGTTCAACGGTACATCGGCACGATCCGCCAACGAAACACGGGTATTACTCTCCTGGCGCAAACGGGTTGCTGGCAAATTACCTCTGGGTGTCTCCCCTTCCTTGCTGAATTCTCTCACAAGGGAAATGCACGAGGGCAGGAGGACTGCAAGGGGGAGGAAGAAGAAGGGGAAAAAAAAAAAGAAAAGAAAAGAAAAGAAAGGAAGAAAAAAAAAAGGGCGAGAAAGGACAGACAATCTTGTCAGATCAGAAGTCGTCCAGTGTAATGATATGGAAAACGCCCTAAACTACCGGGGTACTTAAGGCTAGAAAACTTGCCTGCCATGCTTGCCATGGCAGTGATAATCTCGAAAGCGGCGTTGTGTTCAGAGAAGCATCCTCTCGACAGGGGTTGGATTGGTTGGGCTGCCGCAAGCGTTTGGCCCTTTCCGCATGGATCCGTGAGACAACTGCAGAACACTCAGCCCGCACGCACTGACGCGCCCTCCCCCAATACCGCTTGTAGCGTCCAACCCTAGCCGCTATAGCGCGCCTATTATGCATGCTGTAACCTTAGGGAAAGCCGGCGCTGTGACCCGGGCGAGCCAGCAAAACCACTGTATAGAGGGCTCTGTGATCAAGAAAGAAGGGCCAGACTTGGAGGGAGGATGCGGAATGTGCTTTTCGAATGGGCACTTTCTCCCGAGGCAGAGGGGGGCGGCAGGATGGATCAAGTGAGCCAGCGCCATACGGCACACCGCCGTGGTGCTGTAATCAATAATACTCTTCATCCTGAAGCGTGAGAAGATCAATACTTGGACAGGGGGCGTGCCCTGAATCTTGAACTGAGGTGAGCACGAGCAGCGGAGCTGCCGTGGTCCAAACTCGGCCGGTCTTGGCCGGCGGCGCCCCAAGCCAGGGCCACCACAACCCTCGTCCCTGACATCTCGACAAGAGTATTAGCTGATAACTGTGACTTTGGGCTGGCCTCGCTGGAATGAGGTGCACTGCCTGCTAATAGTAACAAACACCACGGCTGGCCCCTGGCGAGCTATTAATGGCTCGGGCCTTTGCGACCTTTCCGAGTTGCGTGCTTGGAGGTGCAGAGTGTATGGCTCTTTGATTGGCTTCCCAAAGAACAGAGAAGAATTTTTTCCCCTTCTCTTTGGGATCAATGGGGAACCTGGTCTTTTCCCAGCTTGTCGCATCCCTTGGGGGTAGGCGACTGGAAACGCAATTTAGGGCCAGCCCGCCAGGTTTGGATCACGACCAGCATCTCGCTGGAGAACCACGGTTTCAATCTGTTCGTAATACGTGCATCTGCTTTTTAATATAACCATGACAGAACACGTTCCCGTAGGATGGCATGTTGGCATGTTGGCGGATGGAGGCCTTCGGCGCGAATCACTTCCATTTTCCACGTGGACTCCGAGATCAATTTAACGGAGGCGCAGGAGATATCGATAGATCGCTGTCTGTGTTTCGAAAGATCCGACATGTCCCTGAGAATCGGAACGTGCCTATTATTACCATCAGCACTACCTCGGTAGACTTCATGTCCTTCATCCCTTGCTTCCCTTCCTCTTTTCTTTTTCTCTCTCGCTTTTTTCTCTCTTTTCTTTTTCAATGAAAACAAGGTATGTGGTCTTGGTCATTCGCATCCCTTGACGGTGGCTTCAAGCCGTTATCAGTCATTCCATCAACCTTCTCGTTTCAGCATTCTCCCTCCAATTCCGAGGCTGCACGTTCATGCGTGCTCAGTCCGCATCATGCCCTGGTTATAGCCGCACTTGTCGAATCTGCCAGCGCATGTCGCTCCGTCGAGACGAAGAGTCGAGTGACAAGAATATCCATGTAATCAGATTCATTCTGTGCTGCTATCCAATATCGCCTGTCTTACCCGTAATGGGGTCAAATAGCGAATTGACCCGTTATTCGGCACTTGCCCCTTCTTTCTCTAGTCGCGGCAGGGCTCTTGTTACTTGTACAACTTGCTTGGCCTTGGCCGGCCAAGAGCACGCACATCCTCGGGTTCAGAATTCCTCGTGGGCGGACCCTTGGCTTGCGGCGCTTGAGGCTGCCCAGTGGTGAGACCGACGCCACTCCAATCGAAGCTTTCTCCTCCTCTCAAAGGCCAAGACCAGTCACTCCCTCACTCCCTTTCTTAGTGTGGTTACGGACACTTTGACTGACGGTTGTGGTGTCTAAGCGGTAATAGCGCAGGACATCAAGTAGATGCATAAATCCAAGACTGCGTAGATGCTCACTGTCAAGCAAGGGCGTTGTTATCTTATTTTATCTCATTTTTACCTTGGCGATATATTTAATTTTCTCTTTATACTCAGGCTACCACCTCATGACTGGCTGGTCTGTCTAACTGGAAGTATGGGGAAGGGGGAGGGGAGGGCTACTGCACAGGCCTTTCTGGTATCATCTGCCACCTCTCCATCCGTCCAAGGAATTTGGTCGGGAGCAACAGTGCGCGGGGAAGTACTGTTAACGAATGGGGCTGGCCGCGATGCACCACAACCCCAGCACACTTGCCCTTCTGGAGGATTACATCGCTTCTCTAGCCAAGCATGCCCGCCGGCTGCAGGTACTCTGGACAAGAAAAACGTGGAGCATCTCATGGGGTACTTCGTACTTCGGGACGTCGCCTGCGTCTCTGGAGTGAGCTGGCCCATCCCATCATGAACCTCGCACCACCAACCACAACACCTTTGTCCTCGAAAAAGAGCAAGGAGGTGCTTACCTCGCAAGGGAGATGCGAAGGAGGAAGAGAGACGCGGGAAGATGGTATACGAGAGACGGCGCGGAAACCTGGCGTCAGAGGGAGGGAGGAAGTAAGCGAGAGGGGAGGAAAAGTCTCTTTTAGCTCTCAGAGATAGCCGTTTGCAGGAATGCACTCGTGTCGTCAATAAGGCCGACCAGACTGAACTTTGATGGGATACATGCAGGAGGTTTTGATGCAACCCGCAATCGCGTAACAGTCCTGTGATGGTGGTGGTTGGGTTGCTCCACTTCTGCTTCTCCCGATTTGCTCCTCTTTCCCCAAGGAACCGCACCCTCGTGGGAATTGATGACGAGGAAAGAAATAATATACGATGGTTGATTAAGATGGTGTGGAGGACGGAGGCAGGCTCTCTGAAGACGGGGGATTAGGGTGCTCAAGGTTTTGGTGGTCGACATGGTTTTCTCACGCTGATGTGTTTGCGAACGAGGTACATCTTGAGGCCCTCAAAGCCAATAGATCACACCTGCACCTGCCCACTTGGTGGTTAGTAACCGGCCCCCCTCTGAGGACAACTACCCTGTACTTGTAGTGTAGCGCCTTACCCACCCCCTTCTGCTTCTTTTGGGGGGCGTGATAGAAGTCTGGGGCATACCCCCGATGGGTGCTAGACCCACGCCTGACACGCCCCTTTCCCGCGACTCGATCCTGGGTGTGTCTCCGACAAAGTAGCCCCCAGTCTCGGTGGGGACGAAAGAGACCGGTACTGAAGCGTGTACACTGTGCATTCTGCAACGCTAGCCATACAGTAGTGGCGTCTCGCCCAACGGTACAGGACACCAGAACAATCCCACCCGCTTCTGTACAACGATTGTTGATGGATTGGACCTTTTTAACAATGGATCCATCAAATCCACAAGGTACGAAGTACAGTGGGTTTCTGGACGCTAGTCGTGTGTCGGCAGACCGAGCTTCGTGCCCGGCATGTACCCAAGAAGTATCGTCCCCTTTTTATTGCTGGATGGTGATACGAGGAAAGTACGAAGGAAACGTGGGCTGGCTTGGCACCCTATCCACCCTTCTCTGAGCAGCGAACAGTGGAATAGATCCAGTGTCATTCAGAATCGTTGTTCCCGCTAAAGACCCGTCTTCCCCTGTCGCTCATTCTTCCCTTCCCGTCAACCCATTACCTGAACCGCATCCCCAGACTCACTGCCTCTTTTTTCTTCACTCCTTCCCTCCCCCTCCTCACGCGCCTCGCACCGAGCATCACCAACACTTGGCAATTCAACCCTCCAACCGAAAGCGCCATCCAGATCTCGACGACTCCTCTTTCCTTTTTAACTCTGCTGTAGCGCTCGCGCCTTCGACGTTTCCCAAGCCGCTGCGGGATAATCGAAACGCCCAAAGGACGACCACGCTTGTCATGTGCGAAACCATTGCGAAGTCTTGTTCCATATAGCGCCTCGCACCCCTCCCTTCCCACTCGCACTCTCGACTGGTCAAACCAAAGGCCTCGAATTTCTAGCTCGCGACTTCCTCGACTTTTACCGACCCCCACCCTTTTTAGAACACGAGAGAAACAACAGCGGAACAAAGTTTTTCCTTCCTCGTTTTGAGGAACGCGGCGTGTGGCTCTTCACCAACGGTGCCTCGGCCGACGACACTACATGCGCTGATACTAAGTTCTTCGAGCTTGCCTCCAAAAGACTCTACCGTTTCTTACCGGAATGGCTACCATAAACGAGACTCCGCGCCCGCCTGCGCACAACCTTCCTGCTGGGCTCAAGGATATTGTGAACGATGAGAACCGTGACTCGGCATACTTTTCGAGTGATGCGTCAAGCAAGCGTATGTACAACTATTGGCCACACCTCCCGATCCGCGGGCCTCGTGCTCCTTTCCCCGCCCTTTATAAGTAAGTGAGGAGAACCGGAAACACTAACCTTGGGCTCGTGTCACCCCTTAGACACATCCGCAGCATCGTTTGCCATGAATATGCTCAGCCCACGCGGCTCAGGTTATCAATCCTCTCCCACGGATAAGACGCCCTCACCTACGTCCACCGTCCTTCTTCCGCAGCCCCTCGTTTCGCCTTCGGCGAGCAGCATGAGTCTCGCAGCCGTCGTTTCCCCTCCGACTAACGCTAGTGCGGCGAGGCCGGGCGAACCCCGGCGTTTCGACCTCCCCTACGTTGATAATGACCCAGCTTCGCGCCGAGAGAGTGTCGACAGCAGGATCAACCAAGGATTGAACGACATGCGAATCGGAAACCCTGGGTTCGCCCATAACCCCTCGAGCACGTCCATCCAATCTACTTTGAGCACCCAACGGAATCCGCGCCCGGGGCTCGATAGCCTGTCCGTGCATAGGATCTCTAATGGTTACCAGCCAAGCACCGAGCGCAACCCGGAGGCGCTTCCCAAAGTCGCTAGGACAGCACCTGCCATCACAGGCCCTGCCACCAGCACGATTGCGAGGGCCGCAGAGCCAACGAAGGGCCAGGCTTGGGCGTTTCCTGAGGATGACATGCCCCGGTCAGGGTCCGCAGTGAATGGCTCTCACTTTCAAGATTCGAGGCGCAGCAGTATGGCCGACTCTCTAGCGAGTAGCCAGTTCACAACCGAGTCACGCTTACCTCCCGGCCAACGCCGTTTAGACGACCCGGCAGATTACAACAACCGTCTATCAAGCAATTCAGGCGAATTCCCCCGTCCATCACCATTCTCTGCAGCAGAGACATAGCTCCGAGCAGCACCCCGAAGATGGAAGGTTACACGCTGGCTCGCAACCCTATAGTAGAACGCCTGAGTCTAGGCAAAGCCACAAACTAGCTGAACGGAAGCGACGCACCGAGATGAAGGAGCTCTTTGACCAGCTTCGTGATTTAATGCCACAAGAGCGAGGCTCAAAGGCGTCTAAATGGGAGATACTCACGAAAGGTTCGTTAATTCATCCCCAACTCCTTCTGCCTTTTCTTTGTGGGCCGACGTCGGACGCAACAACACCTCAAGCTTTCTCGTGCAGTTCACTGCCAGACAAATGCTGGGAATTTAAGCTAACTCGGCATATCTAGCCATCTCTGAGCATCAGCGCCAGCACGACCACATTCGCTCGCTTCAAGCTCACTACAATTCGGGCGCCCAGGAGGTTGAAATGCTGAGGAAGGAAGTCCAGACGCTCCGCTCTGAAAACAATCATCTACGGGCCCAGGTCAACAGCACCGGAACCCCGCCATACGCAGGCTCGGCCCCGGGCCCCCTGGTCCAGTCGGCGCCCAACCTCCGCCACCAGGACCGTACGGGGCCCAGATCCTTTCTCTAATACAACTCGGACGGAATTACCCCCACTGCGGTCTCTTGGGGCACAATTGCCCGTTGCTCCCGAATCTATGACGGGAGTCCAGTATGAATCTTCACGGCCCCCGAGTTTCCGCTCCGACCGATTCTAGAACGGATTCGTCCATGTCTGCTCCTTACGCCAAGGCCTTCCTTCGGCTCGGGTTAATTCTACTCGTTTTATAACAACGTTCTCTTACTACGGTTATCATTAGAACGGAGACCGATCACACCACACCGTCTTTCCTTTGTCTTGACCATTGGCAGCCCTACCAGAACGGGCGGCCACTTTTTCTTCTGGACTTCTATTCCCTATATCGTTTCTTCAACATCTCGTTTTCCGGTGTAGATATACCCATTGGCCCATGGTCCGTACTTTTAAGAGCGGTAATCAGGGTTGTGTGCGATTAGCAGCGCGCTTCTGGTGTCGTTTCTTTTTCTTTTTCTTTCTCTTTTACTCCCCAGTTTACCCCATTACTCCTTCTTTTTCCCCCTTTCCCCGCTGGTTCCTAAAACTTGTTGTTTTTTGGAGGAGGAGGAGGAAAAAGAACCTGATGGACTCGGTTTTTGTGCAATTCAACTTTTATCTGATATTTGTATGGGAGGAATAAGCATTATGCTGGCCGGGTTATGGTGGGGGTTTATACATGGAGCCCATGACTATTTTGAAGAATTGGCTGGGCTCCAAGGGATTCGATTCGGAGCTAGGCAATATCACAATGGCGCAGGAGGAACAAGCAGCGGATTGCGGATGAAATTCCCTTTATTTTTCTCGTGCTTTCTCGTCCTATTATTTCTTTCTCTTCATTGCTCACTGCTGCATCCGTGTTTGTGTCCGTTTTTCCCCCTCTCTTGCGTCAGCGAGGAAATTCTGGGGCTCGTTGAATGAACAGGCGGGCGAGAGAATCTAGGTTATATAGGGCCGAGAGTAGTCCACAAGGGACAAGAGGATAAGAAGAAGGTGTGAGGATTTTTGGAGACAGCTGAGGACGAAGATTTCGCCTGTTGGTCAGAGGACCCCCCCAGCAGCGGCCTACTCTTTTGGCCATTTCCCCTCCCATCTTATGTAGGCAGGCCACCGTCAAGCCCATTCCCGCCCCGGGCGAGAGTGGGAGTGTGGGTGTAGGTGTGGGTGTGGGTGGTGGCGGAAAAGGTGAATATAGAGAATATATTAATATTGACCCGTGGCAATGACAGACGGACGGGATGGGCCGAGTTATGTTAGCATCTGACCCGTGATGTAGTTGGCATCACTTGATCTCTCCGCAGGAGATTGCCTGCACGCAATTCCGTTCCCACGTGGTATGAGAGGGCAGGTCTCAAGGTTGAGGGCATCATTGCTGTTTCTCTCGTTCCTTCTTTCCTTCCCGGACTAGCTCGATGATTGAACGATGATGTTCATATATGAGCCTCGCCTGGTCATTGAGGTGTCGTCCATGACGGCGGTTGATTACATAACACACACCGACTGAATGTTTTGCCCAGTGGAAGCAATAGGTGACAGTGGGCAGGCTCACCCGTTTGTTTGGAAAAAAAAAAAAAAAGAGAGCCGGGACTTTGATGACCACATTGAATTGAAGCAAGGTACTGAGGTAGAGCCAGCTACTGTTCTATCCAACTTTTCTCGTCACCCCATTCCCAATCCCGAAAGAATTGCTCGTATTACTCAGGGAAAATCCATCTACGCCCTGTCTCTCCCCTCTATAATTTATTGAAAGAACGAGAGAATCAGTACTTGATCCTCGGCGCATTCACTGCTTCTTTTTCATTTTTCTTCAGACCCCCGTTTCGTTATCATGGCGTGCGCTCGATACGCCGTCTCCAGAGCCCTGCTCGGCAGGATCGCAGCGCCTCGCATGGCAATGCTGCAGCTCGCCTCACGAACTCCGACAGCTGTCCTACCCGGCGCGCGTGGTGCGGGACTTCGAATGAGCTTCCGAAGCTATAGCGACGACGCGGCGCCCCCGGCTCCCGGGCGAAGCAAGGCTCCGAGAACGAGGCCGAGGCTGAGGAAGCCGAGGAAGCTGATGCGGCGTACGCGACATTTAACGAGGCCCCGCAAGCCGGATCGCAGCGGCCTCCTGCGAGAGAAGGCGCGCAGGATGGCCGGCGGGACATGGGGCAGAGCGAGAGCTACAAGGAGAGGTTGGCGCGGACGATATACCTGAGCAACTTGTCGTACAACTTGCGCAACGAGGAGATTGAAGCGGAGATGAGCAAGTTTGGCGAGATTGAGTTTATGCATAGGCATCGGGAGAAGCGAGGGTAAGTTTTAAGAAGCCGGGTTCTCCCATTTTCTCTCTTGAAGGGTCTCAAGTTTTTATTTTGCTAACGCCTTGGGTGATTTAGCACGATGCACCTGATTTTCAAAGACCTCGAGGCGGTGGAGCCTGCTCTCAAGAAGCTCAACGGCAGCTTCTGGCAAGGGCGCATGGTCAAGGCGGCGCCGAGCCTGCGTCTCCCCAACTACCCGTTCAATTCGCAACCGCAGCGCGTCATCTTTGTCAAGCGGCTCCCGGTAGACCCCGCGGATGAGGAGCTCAACGACCTGTTTGCCAACTTTGACGGTCTCTGGAACATTCGGCTCAACGAGTCGCAGGTGGGCGAGCACGAGGGCTCAGCCTACCTCGAATTCAACACGGTGGAGCAGGCGCAGGAGGCGATGAAGGCCCTCGTAGGGCAGCAGTGCAGGGGACAGAGACTTTACATCAACTTCTCAGACCGGCGGGCTCAGTGGCGGGATAGGCGCGCGGGCCGGAGCTCGACGCGGTACCGTCGGGGATCCTCGGGCACGTTTGAGAGAGGTACGGCCACGCCTCCCCGAAGAGGCCGACCGGACGATGTCCCTGAAGAAAGAGTTGGAGGACATGGACCGATGAGCGGCGCGGGCCGTACATCCTCTGGATGTTTGAGACTGTCGGTCCCCTGTAGGCCAGCGCCAGGGCTATAATCCTGCGTCAAGCTAACAAACGTCGATCCGGCACGGTCTTTGTACGATGTTTCAATCGAACGTGTGTGTGAAATCGCTTGGAAGATTGGTCGGCCTCTCCTCCCCGTTAAGAGAGGAGAAGGTTAGCAGAGTCCCCAATTGTGTGTACGATAAAAAGACGGAGGGGATACATTTGATGTAAAACAGGGGCAGAACAAATAAGACTCCAAGCTTTGGTGATAAGAACGAAGATTACACATATAGTCACAATGATACAGAACCTACACAATTGACACATCAATTGATTCAATTCACAACCAGCAAGCCGAGTTTGCATCTTGTTCCGTGCAGCTGCGCGGACTTAGGTGCCGTCATGACTAACCCGCGCGGCGCGATCCGATACCGAGGCTTCGGGGGCGGGGAAAGCTCGGGGGTGGCAGTCGATTCTCTTTTCTTCTTTTTTTTTTGCTTTGAAGAACAAATTAAGATGGATCGTTATAGCCGAGCGGATGTGGAAGCTTGGGAAGCGCTATTAGGCAGGATTGGGCGGTTTCCAGGCGTCCCTTACTTAGCGCTGTGCCCCTCAAGCTCAAGTGGAATACTAGAGAAGCGCAGCGCTGACGGTGCCACTTGACGGTGCCGCCACTTGGAAAATGGGAGGGTCAAAGAGCCTCGGCAACATGCCATCGCCTTCATTAATAATGGTTCTTTGGCGGCAGCCCCTCCACCCCTCTCACCCCCAATGGTCGCCTTTCGTCGTTGATTGACCCTTGAGTAGCCAGTCGCCGACTCCGAACCTCCCCCTTGAGGAGTAAAAACATTGAAACGGGCGAGATCTGATTTGACTTGATGGCCTAATCCTACCCGAACCCTTACCATCACGAAAGCTTGTCCTTTTTTCAGGCTCTTTCCTCCTACCTTCTTAGTTCCTCCTTCTCCACCCTCTTCTCCAAACGTCTCTTCCCTGATCAACCCGCATCTCTTGTCTGCCTCCCCTCAGCTGCAGAAACCGTTTTTTCGACGTGTCTCCCCTGTATACTATCTCCCCGTGCCGTCGACCGTCCCCGTCACCCCTTTGGGTTCATTTTCTAGCGGCCCCTCCTCGCCGAGTCCGGTCGCCATCGTCCTGTACAGTTTCGACCAGCTTTACCTATTCGCAAGAGGTCTTCTTTCCAGCTTCCCGCCCTAAGCTCTTCCTCTTTTTTCCTCCGCTTTTATCCGAAGCCCTATTGTAGAAGACGCCGTGAACAAACAGCAGCCCGAGCAACCCGCCGCATCCCTCCGTTGCCCGTACATACGCGGACCGGCACAAGGGACAACCAAGGTTGTGCAATCAACTCCCTTGCTTCCCAACACAACCCGACAGCCACCATGTCTTTCCTCGGTGGCGGCGCGGATTGCTCCACGGCGGGCAACCCGCTCAGCCAGATGAAGAGTCACATGCAAGATGACAAGTCGCTACAGCGTGATCGCATGGGTGCGCGAGGGCCTGCCGGCGCTGCTGGCGGGTTTCGCACCCAGAATCCCGGGGCTCCCCAGGATGAGGTAAGCTTTATCACAGCAACCCCCTCTCTTCGGCCGGGTGCCGAGAGCTGGGCGATAGTGGGCTTCTTTTTGCAGCATAGGCTAACATGGCGGGGTTCAGATGATGAACGGCTTTCTCAACCAGACCCCCGGCCTCCAGCACGAGATGCCCATGCAGAACGGTCCCCTGATCGATACGACACATGGCGTCCACCTTCGCGCGAGCTCCGCCTCTCCCACGTGGGGCCATGCCGGCTTCGCTCACAACCAAGCCGATATTCTCCGACCCCAACATAACGGTAGCCCGTTCAATGCCCAAGAGTTTGCCCGCTTCAACGCGGCTATGAGTCCCGGCGCGTCCGCTTCGATGACAAGCGCCGTACCCGCCCCAGCATGCAGCAGCAGCACCAGCCGCAAATGTTTGGTGGCGGTATGGGCATGGGCATGGCGCGGCCGTTCGCCATGTCGTCTGGCATGCAGCACATGCACTACTCCGACCCCATGATGATGAGGCAGGCCGATGTCAAGGGTAAAGGAAAGGAGCGACTGGTTGAGCTCGACGACGAGAAGTGGCAAGAGGAGTTTGATAGGATGGCACTCCTCGACTCGCAAAAGGAGGACGCGCAAAAGGGAGAAGAGACGGTAGAGGCCCAGACCGCAGACGGCGGCGTGCAGTCCGAAACCCTCGACGGCGATTTTGAGTCGATATGGCGCGGTATCCAGGCGGAGAATGCCACAGCCAAGTCCATGGCGGACGAGGGAGCCCCGTGGACGTTGACTGGAACAACTACGACTTTGCCGGCTTTGACGATTGGAGCCGTGAGCTGCCTCGCATGCCCGAGGATTACCTCTTTGAAGAAGAGAACCTGTTCAAAGATGCCAACAACGCCTTCGAGACAGGTGTGAGGATCACCAAGGAGGGCGGCAATCTCTCCCTCGCCGCGCTTGCCTTTGAGGCCGCCGTTCAGCAGAATCCCGAACACGTCGAGGCCTGGGTCTACCTCGGCACCAGCCAAGCCCAAAACGAAAAGGAAACGGCGGCTATCCGCGCCCTCGAGCAGGCCGTCAAGCTGGACCCCAACAACCTCGAGGCCCTCATGGGCCTCGCCGTTTCCTACACCAACGAGGGATACGACGCGAGGGCGTATAGGACGCTCGAGCGCTGGCTGTCAGCCAAGTACCCGCAAATTGTTCCCCTGACCAGCTCCACCCCCAGCCGAGGTCGGATTCACGGAAAAGGCCCAGCTTCACCAGTCCGTCACCGAAAACTTCATCCGGGCTGCGCAGCTGAGCCCGGGCGGCGAGCACATGGATCCCGATGTCCAGGTCGGTCTCGGTGTCCTCTTCTACGGCATGGAAGAGTACGACAAAGCCGTGGACTGCTTCCGGTCCGCCCTTGACTCCGCCGAGATCGGCTCCTCCACCCAGCGGGAGCAGGTTCACCTCCTCTGGAACCGCCTCGGTGCCACCCTCGCCAACAGCGGGTCCCCGAGGAGGCCATCGCCGCCTACCAAAGGCCCTCAACCTGCAGCCCAACTTTGTGCGCGCCCGCTACAACCTCGGCGTCAGCTGCATCAGCATCGGCTGCCCCGAGGAGGCTGCCCAACACTTCCTCAAGGCCCTCGAGATGCACAAGTCTATCGAAAGGAGGGCCGCGCGCAGGCTTTCGAGATTCTCGGCGGCGGCGCCGGCGGAGGGTCCCGCGCGGGACTCGGCGAGCAGCTTGACCGCATGAGCGGCCAGAACCGAAGCACGACGCTCTACGATACCCTGAGGAGGGTGTTTACCCAAATGGGCCGAAGGGATCTAGCGGAGAAGACGATTGTGGGCGTGGACCCCGAGATCTTTAGGAAGGATATCGACTTTTGAGGCTGAGGCCCCACGATTGAAAGAGCCGGAAGAAGGAGGAAAAAAGAAGAACAAACAGAGGACAACCGTCAACAGACGGACTGCGGCGGAGGCTGGCCTCAAGGAATGGGGTGTTTTCCAGAACGATTCATGTGCACATAGTTTTACCTACTGTGACTCCCAGCTCTCTTTCCACGTTGCCTCCCTATCCGATCCCTTACATCCCTTGGGGGCCCCGAACGGGAGCTAAAAATTTGAAGGGCATCTAGGCGAGGAAGCTTCGCCCGTCACTAGGCATTTTGATGATTATATCCTTTACGAAACGGAGGATGGGGGAAAAACAAAAAGAGGCAATATGTGAGAGGCAAGGCGTTGATGGCACTCCAAACGCCCCCACAACTAACGCATATATAAATCGTGTATATATATATTATATATATATATACATCAGTTTACACGTAGCATACGTACTTTTCTTTATTCAGTACTGTCTTAATTCTTCGTCTTCTTCATGTAGACGTACCCTCTCCTCTCCGTGTGGCGGGGCGAGGTTGTAGGAATACCGAGCGCCGTCTTTTACTATTTCTACCTCCCCTCTGTTTTGTCTCTGTTTTGTCTCTTTTTCTTCACATCACAAACTTGGTGGGCACTTTTGCAGGAAGTCAAGGGAAGGGGAGGGTATCATGTCATGTCATTGTTTTCCCAACCAAACCCGCCAAGCGATGTCGGCCTATCGTTGAACCTGCCTCCCTCCTACAACACAAGGACAAGAGCAAGAAAAAAAGAAAAAGAGTTGAAAAAAAGTCCTCCACGTTTTGATAAACTTGCCCCTCTTTCTCTCTGCTCCCCGTGTGTGGTTCCGTGCTCTCGATATCGCCCCCCTTGCTTCCGAAAATGTCGCGAGGTCCCCAACATTCAAAACGGAAAACTCTTTTCGTTCTTCCAACCGTTTACCATTGTACCGGAAACCGTGACCCTCCTCCAAAAAAAGAAAAAAGGTTTCTCTCGCCTCCGCATTCCTTTTCTTTTCGCCGCTTACTTGACCGTGACGAAACCAACGCCGTCGCGCGCCTTCTTGACCGCCTTCTTGAGCGCCTGCTCCTCCGTATCGGTCCACTTGACGCTGAGATCATCCCACTTGCTACCCGGGGTGTTGTACTCTTGCCGCCATGTGGTGCGGAGGGCCTGCATCCTGGCCATGTCGCGGGGTCGCCCGAGCCGCTAAACAGGATCAGGGCCGTGCAGGGGGCAGGGCCTCGTAGATGCGCGCCAACCGCGCCGAGAGGTGCCGCACGCACGCCTCGAGGGGCGACTCGGAGCCCGCGGCGCCGTTGCCGATGTACAGGTGGCCTAGCTCGGGGGTCCGCCGTTGCCGTCGCCCTTGTCAAAGGCGCCTTGGCGGTTCTTGTTCCACCAACCGCGCAGGGCCTCGAGCTCGCGCATGCGCGCCCAGACAAAGTCGACGCCGCCCGCGCGGATCTCGGCGCCGTCGGCGTCGCCCTGGACGGCGCGAATGACGGCCTCGGTGACCTCCTCGTCGCTCTTGCAGCTGAGAGAGTGCGTCGCGCCTCCGCCGGGCCCCTTGCCCGGCTCGCCCCAGTCAATGGCGGCGCTTGTCCGCGCAGGCTCGGAGGATCCCGCCGCGGTGCCATTATTGTTGTTATTACTATTGTGCGAGGAGAGGCCGGCACGCGCGAGGCGCCGGAAAAGATTCTCGCCGCCTCCCTCGAACTCGCCCCAAGCCTTGCCCTTTTCGCACTTTTGCCGCGTCAGGTCGAGACAGGCCTTAGCGTCTTCGATGCTGTTGTGGCCGGCGGCGCCGTGGCCGAGCTGGATCTGGCGGCCCAGGTATTTTTGCGTCAGCCACTTGAGGGAGGACTTGAGAGGGGGCCGCGGGGGTGGGGGAAGATGATGGAGGTATCAATGATGAAAGGATGGGTAAGCTTGATGGCCTTGAGGTCGGACTCGAGAGAGTGGCCGATCAGAATGGTGCGGGCGTCGAGGAGATCGAGGAGGATGGCTTGGATGTCGGCGAGGGTGGTAGTGATGGGCTCGAGCATGGCCTCGGTGATGCCGGAGAACTGGGTGACATAATTGGTGATGGGCTTGTCGGGCTTGACGAGCTTGTCGAGCACGACCTCGCCGTCCCAGCTCACCACGCTGATCCTGGCCAGCGAGAATTCGTTCTCCCCGTCATGACCATCTCGCAGTCGAGCCCGAGCACGCGCCTTCCGGCGCAAACGCTCCCATCCTCGATCTCGCTCTCGTCGACCACGGCGTCGTCGATGCTGTCGACCTTGGTGGCCACCCAGCCTTCAGGCAAGGTGTAAGACGCCTTCGCCTTGGCGGTGGTGAGGAACGCGGGGTGGAGCAGGTAGCCATTGTCGGCCAGTTCGTCGGGCGTGGTCAAGAATTCCGTTACCTTTGTCCTCTCATCCTTGAACCCGGGGGCTCTCGCACGGGATTGATGCGACCCTTGGTGTCCCTCTCTTCCTTGGCCCTCTTGGGAAGCGGGGCGGTCAAAAAGGCCGCCATGGGCGAGTGCATCCGCGCTAGCCTGTCGTCGCCGGGGTCTTGATGGGCCAGAGACGGGTGAACATGTCGGCAAAGGGCTTCACGGCGGAGTGGAGGCTCTCTGTATCGAGCGCGCGGGGGTAAAAGGCGTCGGGGGACGGCAGACCATCCTCGTCGACCACGGGTTTTTGCTTGGCGACGAAGGCGTCAAAATTGGAAAAGTCGACGTTGGGCTTGAACATGGTTTCCTCGATGCCCGGAACCATGATGGTGACAATCTTTCGGATTTGGCCCCGGTTCGCCACCGACACCCACTTAGGAGCAATGCCGTCGGCGAATATGTATAGAATGAGATCTCGGAGATCTGCAACGCGTACCTTGCTATAGAGCTTTGCATTCTGCGAAAAGTCGATGGACGGGTACTTTTTCTTATCCTTGCGAGGCATCTTCTTCGCCTTCTTATTGCGATGGACTGTTTCCCAGCCCGCATCGTCGGCCGCGGCCGCGTTCGCCTCTGTCGAGTGAGGGTCAAGAGTGGGATCGACGTCATGGGGTGTCGTTCGCTTTAGGGGCGGTCCGACCCGTCTTTCGTCTCGGTCGATTGTGTTTCCATAGCCCCAATGCCGGAGCTTTCTGCAATCTCGATGTCGTCTGCAGAAGAGCCATCCGAGTCGGCGGAGCTGGCTGAATCGTACGTAGGTGAGGAGGCATTGGCGGTGGCGGCGGCGGCGGCGGATTTGGCGTGGAGCCGTCGCTTCACCACCTTCTTCTTCCTCTCCTTTGTTTTCTTCCCCATTCTCCGAATATTTGATAGAAAGGTCTCGGAGGATTCCAACTAAGGGTTGCGATTCGTCGTTTCCTCTATCAAGGAGGGAAGAGAAGCTTGGGTCGAGGCTCTGCGATGAGAAGCTGGAGACTGTTCAGGATAAGAAACAAGCAATTGGCACCAAGTGCCTTGGAAGAAAGATATAGCTAGGAGAAAGGTATGGAGGCGTGGCAAATAAGCATAAAGAAAAGTTCTTTACGTCTATTCTAGCACAAATGTGATCGTGAATGGTAGATGCTATGAGGAGGGGCCTTCCTTTGGGGGTGAGAAAGAGTCGTGGGGAAGAGAAAATATGGTCCAAACTTGGACACCGCCTCGGGTTCTGCCGTTTTGTCAAAATCGACCCTTGTACCAGTGGGGGCGGTGAAGGCCCTGTCAGCGTCGTGGGGTCTAAGAAGAAGCTCGTGCTCCAGCTCTTTCTTCTCTTGGTTTCATTGATGTAATTTCTAGGGACAAGATATGAATAATTGTTGACAACTCGCATCTCCAATGATTCTCCAACCTTGACGAGTCTGATTCGTGAGGATATCGAATTCATTGGATTCGGACGACGATCAATGACCCCCACACCTTCGGTCCCAATTCTGCATGTAATTGAGGCTCATATAAACCAGTTCCAATATATATTGGGACGCACTCGTCAGAGGTCAAATACAATTCGAATTGAGGAAAACATCAAGGCCACGACATGTTTGAAACATCTGCCTAACCCCGGCGACCCTTTTGCTTGCAAGATCCCTAAACTGGTCATTGAGTCACTCACGATTCGATGCACTGAGGTGCCTTTTGAGAGGGTGGGAGTGTGCAAATCCCGTCTACATGTTTCTATCTTTCTCTAGTCTAGTATCATCAAGACAAAAAGTCAACCACGAGCAGTCGCGCCCCTAGCTCAGCCAACCCATCCAAAAGCTGCACCATTCGCCTCCAGATACCCAGCCACGCCTCGTCCCCGCCTTCCCTGCGCTCCCACTCCTCCATGACCTTGATACCCCCATCCACGCCCCAGGGGATACCCCTGACCGCCTCGAGGCCCTGCTTGATCTGGAGGTCGAGCGGCCACCCTTCCAGCTGAGTAATGGGCGCGTAGTGCGCGAGCATGTCGAAGACCATGCGCGCCGTAGCGACGGCATCCAGATCCACGAGGACATCGACGTCGATGTCGACAGCCGCGGTCGCGGGGACGCAGCCCAAGGTGCGGCGCCGTCGCCTCTTGTGCGGGCGTGGATGGCGCGCAGGCGCGAAGCAAAGAGGGAGCGGTCCGCCGAGGCGTTGGAGAGCGCGCGGCAGAGGGCGAGGCCGCCCTTGAGGCGGTGGGGGTTGGCGGGGCTGGGATGGGTGTAGGGATGGACGCGGCACGCGGAGAGGCATGTGACGAGGAAGGCCTCGACGTGGTCGCCGCGGGCGAGGTAGTAGGTTAGGCACGCCGTCAGTAAGGGCTGGGGCAGCATGGCCCAGAGGAGTCCCGCACCAGGGGCGCGCAGACGTCGAACTGCTTTCGCAGGTGAGCGCGGTCGTCGGCGGCGGCGGGCTCCGGGAGGGCGTCGAGGGCCTCGTAAATGGTAGACTGGAGCTTTGTGCCTTTCGTGGCAGAGCTGCTGGCGGTGGAGGGTCCCGAGAGGTCCGGGTCGTGGGTGATGGCGAAGGTGTTGGCCTTGGAGACGGCAGAGGGGAGGAGGCGGGCGGCTTCATAGACGTTGAGGTCGGAGTGGCAGCGGGGGCATTTGCAGACGAAATGATACTTTTCCAGCTCCTGCCGGCGGTGGGCGAGAGGGTATGAAGTATCTAGAGGGGGTAAAATGTTAGTGTGGTGAATACAAGGGGGAAAGTTAGAGGTGATTGTCGAGGAAACGCCGTACCAATGTAAGAGATGGTGATCTCCTCGTCGGCGGCAATAGGCTGGTCCGCCACGAGGAGGGCGGTGCGGCCGTAAATGTGGGCGCTCGCGTTTGGAAGACACGAGTGGTTCACCATGGCGAGACCGCCATCCAGGAACACGGCATCGTAGCCAATGTCAGGATCGTGGACGTTGAACATGTTTGTCAAGAGCTGCGTTCCGTATTAGCCACGCTACATAAAAAACAGCTTGCTGTCTTACCTTGCACATGGCAACCGCAAACCTGCCCGCGACATCCCCCGCCAATCCACTCCCCTCGGCCCCGGCCCTCGCCGCGAGCACCCTAGCCATCTCCCCTGGACTTTGAGGTCCGCCCACGGCCCCGCGCCCGCGCTCCGAAACGCCGCCTCGTTGCCAACCAGCCCTCCTCCAACAGCAACCCAGGCATCCTTGCGCGCGGCGACCTGGATGAGGGCGCGCACGGGGGTCGGCAAAACCCGACCGGGGGCGCGGCGGCGAGGGCGGGGCACTCGACCTTGTGGACGAGCTTCCAGGCGGCGCGCTGGCACGCCTTGGAACAGTACCTGGCCACGCGGCAGGCCGAGCACGGCAGGAGACTGAGCTGGCCGTCGCCCGGTAGGGAGGCGCGCAGGCAGTAGTGGCAGGTCGTGGCCGAGGCGGCGGCGGTGGGCACGGCGAGGATCGGGGAGGAGTAGGTGGCGAGGCGGGAGAGGGCCGGCGCCGGGCTGGTTGTGTGGAGGGACCGGCCCTTAGGGTCGGAGGGGCCGCCGCGGACGGCGAGGGATGGAGGGGCCGCTGGTGAGGACATGGTGGGGTTCGGGGGTGTGTGTGAAGGAGGGGGGCCACACGCCCAAAAAAAAAAAAAAGAAAAAGAACAAGAAAAAAAGAATGTCGCGGGGAGGGCTTGTGGCTTGTGGTGTGGCGGGTTGTGGGTTGTGTGTGATGCCCACGATGTGGAAGCGAGGGGAAGGGGGGCTGAAAGAGCAAAGCCTGCAGAGCGAACGCTTTTTCTCCCTCTATTTTTGACTTTTGACCTGGGGAAAGGCACGAGTCGGGATTGTGCACCTTCGATCGAGTTCGTTAGGTCAGGTAGGAAGCAGGGCTTCAGCTGTTGGTGCAGGTCTGCGGCGCAGGGCAGCAAGGACCCCGAAAGGCCGGGTGCTGTCAATTGATCCGTTTCCACTTTAAAGATGCGATAACGTCAGCGAGGGGCTCTACGCAACGTCCGTTTCTCCCTCGGTGGCACGAGTCTTAGTTTGGCCTCTTTGCGTTGGCTCCTCGGCAGAGGCCTCGCGGACCTTTTGTTTTTCCCATTCTGTCTCTCTTCGTCTTAATGGCATCTTCTACTTCCTACCCTACCGTTCCTGCCGTTGGCGAAGGGGTGAGGTTGGGAAGCGTAGTGGAAGTATATCGTGGCCTGGTTCTATCCCCACTGAAGAGTCGCTAGGAAGCTGCGTCGCACGAACTGGACCTCTCCCCATCTCCCAACACGAGCATTGAACTAATAACATTAGCGTGCCTTTCGGAGTTGGCGATTTCCAACAAACTTCAAAATATTGAAGACAAAACAGCATCGGGCAACAAAAAGAGAAAGGGCGGCTTTTCGCCTCCTCCAACCCCTCTTGCCCTCCTTGCCTTCCAAGCTCGCCCGCACCCACGACTTTTCGTGGTCGGGGTTCTGGAATGTAGTCCCACATCCGCCACAAGTGGCACGTCAACCCCATCCAAGACAGATGCGAAGCCAAGACAGGTTTTACGCGTCACCTCACTGGCGATTGGGCATGAGGCCGAGATGGTGGCGGAGGTGCGTCCGCTTGTTGGCAGGCAGCCAACAGAATCTCGTCTGCCATCATCCTTCGATGTCAGTTTTCTCGAGACAATTGGAGAAGAAAGACAAAAGAAGAAGAAGAGGGAAGAGAAGGCTCCACCAGACCTCGCGTTTGTCGTCACTCCCACACCACCGGCTAGCCTGACTGAAAAGAGGTATATTGCCTATACTTGCACCTTGCACTAGAGGTAGGAGATATTCTTAGGGAAGCGATCAAGAAAGAGAGAGAAGTAAGAGCCCCACCTATGTTACCATTAGTGGCTGAAGGCTGAGGCTGAGCTCGGGGCATCGTGGAAATGGTTTTCTTTGCGGCTGAGGCGAGTGGTGTGTGTCAAAGCTTCAACGAAGGTGCCTCTCCTTTCAGAAGCTGAAAATGCAAGAGTGAAAGCTAGTGCAGGGATTGGGCTCCAAGAGGAGACCGGGCGGGGGCCGATTGATTGACCCGATACTCCTCCCTGATCAGCGGTGATAGGCACAAGGCACACGAAAGAACCATGGATCTGAGAACATGAGCTCCCACTCTTGCCACACGCGCACACACGCACACACACACTCTCTCTCTCTTCGCCCTGCCCATTTGCACATCTAACCCTCTCATTCAAGAGCCTGCCACTGCCTTCACGAGTACCGAGGTACAAAGGTCTTCTTGCCCTTTGCGGGAGATGAGCAAAGTCGTCGTTTCACAATGAGAGGCTTGCCAACGGTCAAGGATCTAGAACCAAGAAGTTTGGCCATGCGGATCGGGTATGGCTCAGGACTGGCGGCCCCGAGCTCACCCATCTGTCTCCAGGTTTGTTGGTGTGAGACAAGATTGAGGGTGTACTACACTAGGTTCAATGGGTCTTGGGATAATGATACCAATTGAAGCCAACAAATTCGAGAAAAGCACAATCTGACCTTCAAACACTAGCGCTTTCGTTGGTTCCGGGCAATCGCGGAATATTGAGATCGCGCAGAGATTCTGCAAAGGATACCATCAAGAATATACCGACTAGTTCGATGTGCTCTTGGCGAGATATACCATGGCAGACCCCACGCTCAACATTGAGACTAGAGCAAAAAGTACCATTGAACCTGAAGGGGATCAACAGTGCGTGCCCTTGCACGATGCCTTCAACATGAAGCCGCTAATAAAACAGGGGGAAATTGGGATGGGATCGATTGCTGACGGCTCATGGCAACCGGCATGGGAGCCGGGTACATTGTGCTCCCTCCCCCTGTACACCCTAAAATTACCTTTCGGTCATCACAGAGTCCAGAGTATCTTCGTCTTTCTAGCTCGCCCCTTCAACGACTTGTCCACGGCCCGCTTAGAGCGGAAGCGCAAACAGCTGATCCCAGAATCCCCTCATCAATTCCTTTCTCTGCGAATCGTCTGGTTGGAATTGGCCCACGAGTTACATCCATCCATCCGCCCACTTTTCTGCCTCCTGAGGGTAGCTTTGCCCGAAATCCTTCCGATTCTTCATTTTAGCATGGCCTGGTCAAAATCGGGAATCCGGCCTCAGGGAAGCAGGTGGCAGGGAAGGCTTGATTTGGCGCGATCGAGCGCTCGACTTTTTCTGAGCTGTCCCCCGTTTCTGGCTCTCTCCGTTGTTGACGGGTCGGCCGCCATTTCGGATCAAGTTGATCGTCTACCCCAAACCAACGTTGCCTTGTCCTTATTTGTTCGGCTGTGTGCACTGTGGGGAAGGGTCTTTTTTTATGTTTCCTGAAGGGGGAACAGGGCTGAGCAAACGCCGAGCGAGCCTGTGATCGCATCCATCGTCATCCCGTAGGACAGAAATAGACTCCCGGAGGGGGCAGAGGGCTTGGAATCCTATGAGACAAAGTCCTTGGTGCAGTCAGTCGTGCATCTTGCAGCCTGTCTAGGGCATTGTGGAGGACCTCTTCAACGAAGCGACATCTATGAATGCACCACATGGCGGCGAAATAGACTTTTAGTAGTTGTGAATTCGGTGGTTTAAAATGGCCTCACCAATGGGTTTCTATTCCCAGTTCGGCCGAGGGGGTATTTTTTCTTTTCTTTTTTAACACCCGGGGAGAGAGATTGGGTGGTGGGAGCACTGGACGGTTCTGCGAAGCATAAAACTGGGAGATACGCATTGATCAACCGCATCCACCCACCGATTCTGTGCTGGCAGGACCTTTTTTCACCCTGCGCTTTTGAAACGGAAAAAAGGGAAGAGAAAAAAAAAAAAAAGGACTTGAGCCCTACAGCACAGCCCCAGGTCGGGCTGGGAGAGCGGTGCCGAACTCCTCCGTCATGGGGCTGGCCCCCAGCGATCAACTGGTTGCTAAGAATAAATCCACGACCCGTTGTGGCAGGGCCGACTAGTTCCATTGATCGGAGAAGATCTATTGTTCTCACTCACGTTCACTAATGATACAAGTGCTTGGATGAGCGACGGCATGTCAGACCTGGCCGTCATCATCTCTCCTTGTATCATAGGTCGAGTGCCGAGAATGGAATGGGATCTGTGAGTGAGGGTTGTGTCTCTCCCGTCCCCCGGCTTCTTCGGGACAGACCAGAACCAGAAATGGAGGGACCTTCAGGACATTACATAGCGTAATGTTACAAGTACGTGTGTGTGGCAATAATAAGACGAGGTCCGAAGTAGCTTGAGGTATGTGGGGAGAGGGGGAAGGAAATGATGGGGGTTATGGATCGCCCCGTGAGGAAAGAAGAATTGGGAACGCGAAAAACGAGCGGAAGGAAAGACGCGGACCATTGACGAGGCTTGATGCTCCCCTCCGAAAAGTTCAAACGTTGGCTGCCTCTTTGGCGTCGTCCATCACATCAAAGAAAATGGACCTCCTCCACATCACATCGAAATTGATCCCAACATACATGGAACAACCAGGAGCTGTCAAGGGCGAGGGTTTTATGGGTCAGGTCAAGCCACAGTCTCGACTCCATCTGCATCAATCGCAATGGTGACTTGAAACAGTCATAGGGCTCTCCTGTACTCCAGTAGCCTTCAATAGTTGCTCTCAGCCCGAAATGCCGCGTGTGGAGTGTGGCACATGGTTTTCCTTTTTGCCAGTACTTGTAATAGTGTGAAAAACGGACCCAGCAAGTGACTTGAATTCCGCGACTCGCACACCTTGCCTATTCTTGTTGTTGTAGTCTTCATCGCGACCCTCGGAAAATTAAGATGAACGGCTCAAATGGATGGATAGGGAACATGCAAGATTGCAATCAGAAAAGGACGTCAAGTTTCCCCATTTTCAACTTGTCAGTTCTCTCAACCTCTGTCTCCTTGGTAGGAAGTATAATCGATACCCTCGGAAGAAAGAAGTGATAACAAGTCGAAACGAGTTGACTGGCATCCAGGTCTTACTGTGGATGATTCTGACATTTGAGACTAGCCGATCTCAAGACCATGCGTTCCATGCCTGATTGGGCAAGTGGCGACAGGGAAAAAGGGGCGGTTGATCCCCTGGGCGGAGAGCGCCACTGTACCTGCGGCGGTGTTGCTCTCATTCCTTTTCTTCTTGATGATATCTTCCCTTTTTCGTTACTTTCATTATTTATAATCATTAGTTTGAATGGTTTTTGACAGAGGATGGAATCCACTACCTCCTTGAACGAATACGCGTACTCTACGAGAGTGGCCAAGGGAGGTGAAGCAGGCACGACACGAGAAAGAAATCGAGGAATTTGATGCTGGATCAATTGATGAGAGTGAGTGTGGGGGAAAGAGCTAACCAGTACTTGTAAATTGCCTTCGAGAATAGGGTATCCCCGCACAGTGCTGATATCCTCTCCTCTGCGCTCCATTTTCCGACCTCTTCAATGTTCCCTTTTCATTCCTCGCGTTATTAGGACTTTGGACCTCGAGGATGCTGCAGGTACCAAACGCCTGCCTCTCCCCCAGCATGATGCATCTTGGCGTTGTTTTCGGCCGGAAGCACCGCTGCTGAGCAAGCGAAAGGGATGAAGCCCGCCACCCACCAACAAGTGTCGTTGCTTGCTGGTTTCCCCTTTCATTCCTGGTTCATGCTTTTGGTGATCAACATTCGTCAGGTGTCAATCATCTGCAAGGACGGCTGTCCCGTCCTCGAGTCGCGAAGAAAAAGGTCCAAGTCCTAGGGTTGCCCCTCTCTCTCTCGCTATCCAGGTCCTGCTCAAAGCCCTGGGAAGGATGGGTAGATCTTGACCCGGCATGAAGGAAAACGAACAAGCCGTCCATGGCCGCTGACCGGAGCGAAGAAAGGAACACCTTGACGTGGTGCCCGAGGTGCCCGAACGACCCGGGCACTTTACGAAGGCTATTACACTCTATGTTTTGATGCACAGCACTGGCAAAATGCAATGCCACGGCCGTTGAGAATTTGTCGCTCAAGCCGGGACGAAAAGAAAGAAAAAAAAAAAAAAAGGGAAAGACAAGCATGAACCAGAGACTGCAAGAAAGCGGCAGGGAGGCGAAGCTGGGTTGCTATGCTATGCTTAGCAGGTCCAGCTTAGCCCCCATCTCTCAACTCTCATCGCCCGTTCACACACTACGGTTACATAGGAACCGTGGGCGAAGCAGCATCTCACCAGCACATCTCTACCATTCTCGTACCTATTCCGTGTAACTGGCGCAAAAGGTACTTGTACAATCCTCTCAGCCGACCCTTGTTCGGAAGGAAGGGGACCCTCTCTCCACACGATTACACTCCCCGACCCATTTCGCCCTCCTTCCTTCCTTTGCATCCACACCCCCTGCAAGCTCCTTGAGGCAAAGGTCTTGGCTTGGACCCAGAATGCCAAGGGCCCAATGTTCCGTGCTTAGCTTCGCTTCGCCTTCCTTTCCCCAGTGGATGATTGCATGTGTCTAGAAGTGTCAAGGGCAGGAAAAAAAGAAAAAGAAAAAGAAAAAGAAAAAAAGAAGAAAAAAACACCTAGCACCACGCAAAGGGTGCTATCCACCCTCAGCCGTTCGTTTGTTTCGTCGTCGTATAAAAGGGGCAAGAGCTCCACCCCTTCCCAAGCTCCCTCCATCGTCTTCTTTGCTTCCCATCTTCCATACCAACTCAATTCGCTTTTCTTCTTGATACCCATCTCAGTTCCAGGTTCTATTCTTCGTATCTGCTTTAATAACGCAACCACACACAACAACACATCCTTTCTCACTCTCTTCCACACACACACAACACCGCAAACATGTACGCCAAGGCTCTTCTCATCTCCTCTTTCGCGGCCTCCGCCCTCGCCGTTGCCGCCCCCGCCATCACTGCCGCCCCTGCCCGCCGTGATGTTGGCGACACCCTCGGCAACCTCGGCGACAACATCGATGACTTGATCGCCGACGCCACCCAGGCTGCCGGTAACGCCGGCGACAACATTGGCGACATCGTCAGCAGGATTGGCTCCGGCGCCAGCGACATCCTCGGCGACATTGGCACCGGTCTCGGCAACATTGGCACGAACCTCGGCGAGTTCGCCACCTGCGCCAGCGCCGGTCTTGCCATCATCACCTCTCTCCCCAAGGCCCCCGAGGGCGTCCTCGAGGCCGTCGCCTCGGCCGCCGTCACCGCCAAGCCCACCGACAACTGCTACGGCACCGTCATCCCCTCTTCTCTCCAGAGCGCCTACTCGTCGTACGAGACCGAGCTTGCCTCATGGTACGCCAAGAACAGCGACCGCGTCTCCTCCCTCATCTCGGTCTGCCCCACCATCGCTGCCGAGTACTCTGGCGCCATTGATGATGCCGTCCCCTGCGCTACCGCCGTTGCTGCCGTCGGTGGCTCCGAATCCGGCTCTGGCTCTGGCTCTGGCTCCGGTTCCGGTTCCGGTAACGGCGACGCTGGCGGTGCTGCTTCCTCCATCCGCGTCACTGGTGCCGTTGCCGCCATCGCCGCCGGTGCCATCGGCGCTGTTGCCTTCCTTCTTTAAATACCCTACAGGGTATTCTCGGGCTTCGTCGAGGTAATCCTAGGGATGGAGAGGAAGCTGAAAATGGAGAAGGGGCGCCGAGCATCAAGCTCGGGTGCCCGCTATCGATAGACGCGACAGAAGCGCGTCTTTTACGTTAATGTCGGGACATTTTTTCTTATCCATTGCACATCAACGGCATGGCTTCACTGCGACAGGTGCTTTGCTTTTTTATATCATTTTTTTTTTTTTATCTTTTTCAAACGGATCGGGTTTCTCTGTATGTGAGAATTAGATGAAGCTCTGCGAAGCGAGTTGGGCATCCTTTTATACCAAAGATACACACACTTAAGACTTGAGTTTTCCCTACCCTTTTTCAAAGCAAGGAAGAGGGAGGGTAGCAAAACCAATTACAAAAAAATTCAATGACAGCAACTTTGAATTGCTTGATCAAAAAAGAATCCGCCTTGTCTTGTTTTCGTGGTGCTTGTGACAATTGTATTTGCCGACTTTGTATTTTGCTACTACTACCCCTTCGACTTACACCCGAATCGCACTAGTTTTTAATGCCCCAGCTCGAGGAAACATTGCCATTGATTACATCTCTCTACCGCCCCCAGATGGGAGATTCATCTCTTTTATTGCCTTTTCATTTCAAGTAGATCGCCCATGCCTTTTCTACTTCCTCAGGTTCAATCCTCCTTTCAAGAGTGAGAGGAGAACAAGGCATCCATCTCACCGTTCTACTACCGCGGCGTGGCGAGCATCTATGCATCCCGATTTGATATCAACTCCTTCCCTTCAATGACCCTACTACTCCTTTTCTCCTTTTTACTATTACTTAAGTCCCAGCCCTTGTCGCGGTTTATTGATTGTATATTGCAAGTCTAGTTTGTATGTTTATACCTACTCACTGTATTATTAGATGCGACAAAGATCGCCCGCCTCTCCACGATGCCGAAAACGCCAGCCAAAAGTCCCTTCAAGTGTTGATGAGTTACATGGATTCATCCATTGATCAAAAACTCCATTCGCTTACGCACATGATGCCCCCTGGGCCAGCCCCCCTTATCACCTTATTAAAGATCCATTACCGTGATTTGGCCATCCTAGAACAAGAAAAGAAAATGCTCCAAAAAGAAGAAAAGATAGAATGAGGTGAGGTCGAAAGCGTGGGTGGAGTGGACGTAGTTGATTTACAACATCGTCAACGTAGCAGCAATCGCTAGCCCCGCAGCTCCGAGAAGTCGAGGCCAGCCCACGTGCGGCGGCACTGTTGGCCGCGTCGTCGCCGGCGCTGTTGTTCCCGCTTCCCTTTTCCATTTCAGCCGTCGTGGACCCATCACCCGCGCCGGGCTGGTTTCCCGTCCCGGTACTGTTGCCACCGCTGCTATCGTCGTCGCCGCTAGGCTCCGGTAGCTCCTCGGGAGGCTCGAGCCACCCGCGAGAGGCGGCGTCCTTGATACCAGCAAAGAGAAGGGTTGCCATTTTGGTGTATCCATCTTCGGAAGGGAAGTAGGCGGTCTCGCTCGCACCCGCGCCCGCATCTCCCTCGGCGCTGCCGTCGTCCTCCCCACGGCCACGGCATCGGTGAGGTCCTCAGGCGTCACGCCGCCCTCCTCGGCGCGGAAATCGACGAGGACGACCTTGCGCGATGCGGCCTGCTGCTGGGCCACGAGCTCGGTAATCTGGGCGTTGATCTCGAGTAAGCAGGCTTCCAGGTCCGCGTCGTGGCCGTCGCTTCCCTCGGCGGGCGTGGCCGGCGGGAGAGTGGTTAGCACAGCGGTGGCGAATATGCTCGTCCACGTAGTCTTGAGGAGGCCGAGCAGGGCGGCCGAGGAGTTGGACACGTCAGCGCCGCGACGGCAGTCGTTGGTGCCAACGTTGATGATGACGAGATTAGGCTTGAAGGAGGGCACGGCGGCGTCGGCAGCGGTCTGGACGTCGGCAATCGTCGTGACACCCACGTCGGCGGAAGCTTCGACTTGGTTATCGGAGCCGAGATCCGGCGACGTTCCGGAGGTGGAACTACCGACGTAGTCGACAGGGTTCCCGTCGGCGACTAGGAGGGCGCGGAGGGCTGCACGGTAGCTGTCTGGGTTGCTGGGAGTGCCGTGCGTAAGGGCGTCCCCGAGCGGGAGGACACGGAGGGAGACATCGCCACCAATGAGGAGATGGCGGGTATTGAAATGTCGGCGAGGTCTCTAGGCTCACTCGGAAGGGCAGCTGCGAGACGATGTTAGTTGAGGTTTTCGACTTGAATGGTGAGTTTGTTGCATCATTTTTGCTTGCATCTTGTTGCGGAATGGAGCAAGGAGAATGATAAGGGCTGTAATGAGACTGGGTGGAGGGATAATGCAGCGAATGCGACGCTACGGGGAAGGAGAGCTACGGAGTTACCTTAAGCTCTCGCGACATATTCACATACCTGCTGAAGAGGCTGCGTGTAAAGCCGTCAGCCCAGAAAGGGCAATGCGTCGAACAGAAGTAGAAGACATAGTTGAACGTGGATGTGCCGTGTTGGTTTCTTGACTTCGCTTTCTTTCCGCTTCCCTTGGTACACTTATGAGATCCAAAGAAGAGACTAGGCTTCTTCTCTTCCGTCCCCAGTGTGTCTCGTGCGAAGGGCGTTTGGCAACTCTTACTCAACTGTTGGCGAGGCGACTATAGGGAGGGGTAGCGGAGAAGAGAAATAAAATAGGATAGAGAGAGAATGGGGAAGAGAGGGAGGGAAAGCAGGAGGAGGAGGAGGAGGGGCGGTATAGGAGGATGACGGGAGTAAGGGCAAGGAGACTGGAGCTGGCACAAGTGGAGCAGAGACAGCTTGGCTGGTGGGGGTGTTCGCGCCGATGAGTCTAAAAGAAAAAAGATGTGGCGTCAAGAGTTTGTGTGCCCGGACAGAGAGCTCTATATTAGATGACGAGGTCGGAGGAGCAAATAGGAAATGGAAGGGGAGGGGACAAGACGTCAAAAAGACGGAGCTCTTCCGAGATCGAAAAGGCCCCGTAGCTTGTGCAACCAAGACTTTTCAGTGTTGGCCTCCTTTTCCTTTCCCCGCGAATGAGCAAGAGGAGCGAGACAACCGAGATCGAAGCAAGGAAAAGGGTGGAGCTGGGGAATGCCGAGCTGCAAATGCAAGGCCGACTCAACCTCTTACTTCAGTGGCTGATGTGCTTTCGTGGTATAGGTCGTACGTCTTGGCTTCTTTGGAACCTTGTCTCCGTAGTCTTTGGTTCCCAGTTTTCCGTCGCGCGCGCGCAAGCCGTGAGTGAGTGGAAAAGAAGGTTCCTTCTGCTGGTCTGTTTGCGTAGAGGCGGATGATCAAAGGGGGAATGGAGAGGAGGAGGATGAAAAGGGGATCAATTGGCTGCAAGAACGACGCCCGTGTGCGGGAAGGATACGTTTAAAAAAGCAAGATGAGCAAGATGAGCAAGGAGAAGGGTGTGTGCGAAATAACAACTATCAAAGAAGAGCTCGACTTTGAGAACCTTGGATGATGAGTGGGTTTGGTGATCAAGATTGATGGTACTGGACAATTACATCAAATTTGATCATCGAGAGCAACGACGGGTCGATTTAGATTGGGGGAGGGCGCGCCAACGTCGGGGTTTTGGGGCCCTTTATTTGAGTCGAAGCATCTCGGCCAGGGACGAGGCCCCGGCCGTCGATCCAGGCCAGGCATTAATTCCTTTTCCGACTCAACGTCGATATTACGATGCGTTGCCCTTTTTCCTTCTTGCATCGCTGCACGGCTATATGAAGATGTTTCTGAAACGGGCCCAGTCCACAATCCAGGAGGGGGTGGCGTGTCTCTCGGCGGGCACTTTCCCAAACTACAAGTGCGCACTGCCCACTTGGCAAGTTTATGGGGAAGGCCAGGCGGGTTGCACTTGACCTTGACTTGGAGCCAGGCTTGCCAGGCACACGCCGCACCGCTGACTGGCACTGGCACCCAAGGCACCGCAAGCTAACACAGGCACGAAGTACATCATTGAACCACTAGAGGACTCGATCCACAAGCCCCTCAACCAAGCAACCGTCCCCGTAGGAATAGAACCGAGCCGAATCGAGACCTCTTTCTGAACCTGATCGCCCAAACAGTGCCTCCTTCGTCCCAGTGCCAAGACCACGTCCTTTCGCTTTCGAAAACAAGGGGAGGCACCCTTTCTGCCTTTTTTCAACTTCTGCCCGCCCCTCGGCGATGCGAGAGAGGTTGGCTGGGACGAGGGATGATGGAAATTCTTCCAACCCGCAGCTGGGACTGTGAAGGCTGAGATAATAAAAGAGTGTAGGGCGGGTTGTTTCAATCCATCCGCTAGCCTCGTTCATATTCCCGAGCCAACTCCATCAATCAAACAGTAAACGATTGGCCGTGATACAGGCCCCCGGCGACCGAGCCATGGTACAGGCCTTTAGTTGGAGAGGCCATGGGCCGAGAGGAGACGGGGATCAGAGACATTCAAGGAACCACCCCGGCACTAAGAGGAAGAAAAAAAGAAAAAGAAAACAAGGTGTCCATCACTTGGAAGATCTCGAGAAAAGCAGACTGGGAGAAAGAGACACTGGCTCTCGGCGGAAATGAAGGCCCAAGAAAAGCAACATTGAAGAGAGAGAGCAGAGACAAACCGCCCCCAATCTAAGGCCGGTCGGCAATCTGATCTTCGGTACTGTTAAGCACCTCCAAAGTGGTGACCCAATGGATCTATAAACCGACCATAAGACAGGTAATAACACTATATTCCCTACGAGAAGCACCCCGAAGAAGGGGGCAGGCAACGAGCTGACACCTCTCCTTACTCACTCGGGGCCGCGCCCCTTGCTCGATTCGATTTGAGCCGGGGCTCAGCCCACCGTCATCAGCGGTCTTTGGAGACCCGCATCTGGATTTCTCATTGGCTACGCTAGTTCTCGGGTCCATCTATTCGGAACTCTTTCAGGCCATGGTTCTTGAGCTTCCTAGAATTTTCGTCGGTGAAACAAATCGAAGAAGCGAGGCGAAGTAAGAAAGGAGAAGGAAAAAAAAAAAAAAAAAAAGACCGAGGAGGGTCCTGGTTGAGCTTGCGGCGCCCGTTCAGCTTTGGGGGATTGGGCACCACCCGGAATCCTGGAGCGTGAATGCTTCGGCCTCTTGGCAATGGATTGGGCCTGGCCTGGGAGGTGAAAGGGGAAAAGGCACTAATAGCTGAGGTGAGCTGTTCAAGTCGTCGTTAGTGAACGTTGAATGCATTGATCAGCCCACTCTTCCCTCTGATTCCCCATCCGCAAGCCTCGCTCTCGGGTGCGGCCCTGGGGCCCGGATGTGCCCTCCGCATGTCGGGAGTGCAGAGCTGAAATCCCACCGACCGGCGTGGGTGTGCCCCACGCGTACGCAGGCCTGTCGGCCACTGAGGGACCTCAAGCTGGCCTAGGACCCGAGCTCCTCAGCAAATCCTAGTGCGTTGGCAACGAAGCTAATGGCTAGCAAGACCCTCGTAAAAACCACTAGGGCGAGGCTTCTAGCCACTTGCACCGTCAGATGGGAACCCGGCTCACCATATTTCGAGCGTGGCTGGCCATCGACGTGTCAATGGCTTGATGAGGAGAAGGGGTTCTTGGTTCGGACTGATCCATTGCCAACGGCCGCAACTCTGCCTAACTTCGATCTTGGGGGTGCTGGACACACTTGCCGGCTTACTGGCAACCTCGACAACGGAGCCGAGAAGGCCGGCAGTCTATGGAAGAAGAGAAAAAGATGTACGCAAGAAAGACGTGTTGTTGGAATTGAACCCTTGATGCCTGCACTTTGAATCAGGTTCAATGTTCCCCATGCACGCAGCCATGCACCTGCCCATCACTCTGTTTCACCACCCTGCAGGCTCAATGTTTACCACAGGGGCAGTCGAGTGTAGAGAGGCAAGAGCGGGTTGAGGGGCTGGCTCTCCCCCGCTCCCCTCTTAGCTCGCTCACTCGTCTTCCCACAGCACAATCCGCAACCCACCCATTCCATTTAAGCTCAGCAGGATAATACCCATCCACACCACCCTTTCAGAAGAGGCTTTGATTGGACGTTTCATCCTTGCTTGCATTGACGCAGGCAGGGATGGACATTCCGTCTCCAAGGCCACTCAGCCTTCTTCTCTCACGGATCAAGAGGCAGGCTTCTTAATAATACCCTTCTGAGCATCCGGGATATCCATCGATGATGCGTTAATATCCACTTTCATTGCTCCGCAGAGCACCGCATCAGCTGAAAAAGAAAAGAAGCGAGGAGATGTGAAGCCCGAAAAGGACATGGGCTGGGAGGGTTTTTCTTCTTTTTTTCTTTTTCTCATTTTCTTTCTATTGTTTTCCAAGAGGCACATGCCACTAAAGCACGGAAATAGTTGAGAGGCTTCGCGGAGGCCACGGCCCCAGTGTTCACGAGCCAGAAAGATCAGCATCACCAATTTCTACACTACACAAGTTCGCCTCAAGGAAACCCACCAGAGACGAGTTGATACCGATCCTCCACTAGACCGGACCCGCCCCCCTCCTCAGGACTCCCTATGATGGCTAGGCTAGCCAGGCCCACACAATGTGGGAGAGGATCGGCCATTGACAACGTCATTGATTCTTTTTCCAAGACATACCGGCTCCCCTTGTGCCCTTTCAAGCCTTTTACCCTCTCATACCTCTCTCCACAACGCATGCGCCGTAGTGTAGACCCAACAACCCGCTGTTTCAGACCCTAGTTTTGTCTAGCCTCGCGTAGTAGTCTCGCTATTTTTTGTTTCCTTGGCCATCTCGGCACTGGTCTCCCAGCTGATTGCCTGATGCTTCCTAGGCCCCCTCTTCACAGCTAAACCTTCTCCACTTGACTGACGGCGATCGCCCGTAGTATCCCTTTGGTTCGGTCTCGCCGTTTTGATAGATACATTCTAATACCCAAAGTATGCGCGTGCCATTTCATCAAATGTTGGGATTTGTGTATAGGTGTATGTGTTTGCATCAACGGACCATGCTTGTTTCCGTTCCCCCGGAGCCGTGGGGAGCCGTGGAGCACTACCGAGAGGTGCAGCGACTAGTACGAACTACAGGACTCGCTCCCTCGCCTACATGTATCAATGCGGGAGCTCCCGATCAAATGGGCACGCAACGAGGACGAAGCGATCATTGCACATCTTCCCGCCATAGAGTCGTGTGCCGAGCGGAATGCGTGGTAGAGAGGATACGTTTCCAGTGCTTCATATCTGTAGACGTCTTGCGCGTGCACCGATACTCCTATCGAGGCGCTCTTACAGCGCTCAACCAGCACACATACTCAAGAATGGAGAACCCCAGCGCCTCGGTCAAAACGTAGGGATGAAGATGAGGGTAGACCAGGATCTAACCAAGGGAGAAAAAAAGACACTGGGGGCTGCAACAAGGGAAGCACAGTTATTTTCATGGAGAGTTCACATCCAAGAAAGGAAAAAAATTGTAGGATTACGATTCCTCCGTTTCCCCCTTTCGCTTTGGAAAGAGAGGGAAAAAAAACACAAAGCCCAGCGGTTTAAAGCCTCATCTCTGCCAAACTCCCTCGCCGTACCCATTGAGTGCCAGCACTGAGACCTTCTTGCTTCACATGACCTGCTGCTGCTGCATCGGCAACTGCTGCATTCCCTGGCCCATTCCAAACTGGAGGGCCCTCTGCTCTAGTAAGCCCCTCACCTCGCCGCTAACCTGCCCAAACATGTTGAGCAGCTGCAACGCGTCCTCCCACCTCTCTCCAAACTTGCCCAGCGTCTCGTCTACGAACCTGAGCGCCTTGAGGCTGCGCTGGAGGTTGTCCTCAAACTGCTGCTGGAAAAAGCGGTGCGGGATCGGCGGCGCCGGCACACCCGTCGCGTCGCTGTGGGGCAGAGCTGCCGGGCGTCCCGAAACCAGCAGCTCAAAGGCGCCGCGGAGGATCGAGATGAGCTGGCCGCCGATAAAGTAGACCCGCATGACGTCGTAGTAGCTAGTGAACGGTGTCTGGCCCGTCTCGAACACCATTTCGTGTATCTTTTCGATAAAGGACACGGCGTGTTCAAAGATGAGGGACTGCCTGTATTCCGTCATGTGCGGCGCCCTCGGCGAGTACACCAAGCAGTACACGTAGCTCCACTCTAGCTCGATGTCCATGGCTCGGCGAATCTCGTTGGGTAATGTGGGCGGAAGCTGCTCCGCCCATTCCCGGAGTTCATGGCAGTTCTTCCACAGGTACGACTGCGCATCCGCAATCACGGACTCACCCGCCTGATATAGAGCCTGGTACCAACCTGACTGGAGCTTCCGTAGTTGGAAAAGGTGGAGCGCCGGGTTGTTCGATTGCGGACCTGTGATGTGCCCCGAGATCGAGGGGATCCTACCTAGCTCTGTTGAACTTGGCAGTCCCACGTCGACTGTTGAATCCGTGAATGTCAAGGCCCGTGCATGGCCCATGCTAATGGTCCTGTTGGAGGAGGGAGAGGGGAAAGGGACCCCAGATAGATTAGCCACCCGCTATTGGTAAAAAGATAGACTGCTACTAAGGAAACCGGTTCGACTCACCTGTCTAACGCGTAAACACAGTGGAACAGCTTGCGTCTGATCTCGAGGTCGCTCTTGTCCTTGACATCGTGAGGCGCGGGGTCCTGGTGTAGTCCCATCTCAATCACGACCCGCGCCGTGAAGCCCATGCAATGCCAGGGGTCGAAATGCCTGGGGTCGTACATGGCATACTGGGTAAGGAGAATTAGTGAGGGAACAGTAGAACGCACACCGGGGGCTAGAGCCCTTTCTGCATAAGGCACCGCACGCGCGATGAAATCCACGCCATCAAGGTAGAACGGGTCGCCCATCCCGCGACTCTGCGCAATAGATGCGACAGCCAAGACCGTCCAAAACAGCCAGTAATCGGCAAACTTGAGAGATTGCTGAATACCTCCTTGCGGATACATGTTGCCCAAAACCGCCCACATGGTTTGCTCCGGGAGGCACGGGTACATGGCGTAGATGTTGTCCATGTAGTACTGGACGAGCCTCTGTGCGTCTTGCTGGGATGGGAGGTCGTTACTCCTCGGTTCGGGGAGCCTGTGCCTATAGCAGGATACGGCCATGAGCTTCGCAAAGGCTGAGCCCCCGCTCACAGAAGGCTCGGCATCGCGAGACGTAGCATCCACGGACCTAAAGAGACCATGATTAGCGATCACCGCGGAACTACGCAGCTAGATGTAGGGGTTTCTCCAGAGCTTACAAAAGTCCGAAATCGGATACAAGAGAGTCCAGGTCAGCCTTCTCCTGCTTCATCACCGCCTTCCTTTGCACAGCGACGCGGATGGCGGCCATGGAATCTTTGCGATCGACATCGGTAGGTAGGCTGTCCTCTTCATGCAGAGCCATGGACGCCTTGCGTTCCCTAGCATAGCGAACCTGCTTCTCCAACTTTTCGACTCTCAGCTCCAACGCGGCAACATAACTAGTAAAAGTTAGACTCATCGTGCTCGGGCCAAAAGTAGGCACGAGACGCTTGTCGTGCTCGGAGGACAACGAGGGAAGAGAATAGACCAACCTTCGTTCTTTTCCCCTCGCGAACTGATCGCTTGCACTAGAGCACTCGTTTGCTCGACCGGCCTTTTCACAAGCCGAACAGGCCGGCAGCTTGCCGTCACACTTGACCTTGGCGGACCGACCTATCCATTGTCAGACATACAGCCGTCATGCAGGTAGGCAGTCATCTCGACCCTTTCCCCCGGCTTCCCGGGTTGGAAGGAGGGGAGGGACTGAAGAGGTGAGGAAGATAGAGATAGACAGATAAGAGTGCTTACATCTTGAACAAGCGGATACGGGACGAGACACCCTCAAAAGAGGGTTGTCTATGAGGCTTGTTTGGGGCATCTTTCACCAATAGCGACCCTCGCCGCTGGTTCTCCTGTCAGATTCTTTGATAGGAGGGGCTGACAAGATGAACGAAGAAAATGAAGCGAAGCAAGCTGCGAGGAAAAGTGGTGTGTGAGGTGTGAATATGGGATGGGAGCTTTTTGCCACGCCCACACGGGATCAGGCCGGCGTCGTTCGAGGGCAGAAAGGAGCGCCGAGGATACCACCAAAGCAGGTAAGATTTGCACTTGTCGGATTCTGTTCCCAGGAACGAGACACGATGAAGCGCGAGGTCAACCAAAAAGAGCTCTTGATTGGTACCTTGTCCGCCGGTTGTTTGCCGCGTTTCCTTAGCGAAGCGCAGAGAAGGGGCGGCGCAACAGGCCTGCGCCAACCGAAAGGAGAAATCAAAGAGACAAAAGAGCCGTACAAGCTGTCGTGGTCCGTTTTTTTGTCCCGGGAGAGCGGAAGGCAAGCCCGAAGAGCCACGAGCAGGAAGTGTGAAGCGACGGTAGCAGCGTAAGCTGACACGGCGTGATAGTCACCGGGCACCTTCGTACGATGGCTCGGTAATATTGCACGGCAAAGAGGGAGGGCTGAGATAGGTTTCTCTCTGTGAGATCCTACGGGAAAAGGGAGGAGAAGGGAGAATAAAAAAGACCCTGGCGCGATGGAGGGTTGATCGATCTCGAGAATCCCTACAAGCAAGGGGGCTAGCAATGAGGTCTCTCACGAGTGGTCGTGGGGTTTCGGGAGCGAAGAAAAGGCTTTGGACAGGAATGGACAAGAGCCTTGCGCACGCGGATCGACCGTGACTTCCAGTCGCAAGAATGCGGGGCGAGTCAAACGGGAGTGGGAGTGGGAGTTGCGGTTCCCCTGCACGGAAGGGGAACAAAGTACAATCCAAGTACCACTGATCCCCATCAATTGCTATGCTCAGCACTTGCACCACCTCAATTCCGCTACAGAAGCTCGTCGTGGCGGGCCCCACCACTGCGTCGTCACCCCTGTGCAGCTCGAGGTCCCTTCAAGGTACCGCCCCGGCTGGGATTTTATCCCCAATTGATCACAATGTTCTACTTGGAGGGATTGAACGGATTAGACCTTCAATGAGGGGCACGCACTGCTACTCGGAGGGGTGAAACTCTTGGAACAGCATTGAACCCATTGATCAGTTCGACGACAATTTCTCTCCATCAGCGCTAATTCAAAGGCCAGGCGTAGGCGTCCTCTGAATTGATACCTCTAGCTCGAACAAGTACACTGATCCACGGGAAACAACAGCCCTCCGCGGATCCCGTTTCCCCGTTTGCCCGTCGCATCAACCCCTCCTCGATCCAATTCGACTGGTCGTAAACGAAGGGCCTTCTAGAACCATCCATTACCGCGAGCAGCTTGGGGCGGTTCTCGCTCGAACTACTTCCGACCTAATGCAAGCGACTGACGATGGTTGAATGACAGCCGGGATTGGCGTGATAGATTTCTCTTTCCCTCTCTCTCTCTAGCTCTCCAGAGATGTCGTTAGAGATAAGGAGAAAGAGACTAACTCCAGAGACCAACGCTTTGTTACACACCTTTCTATTTTGCCTTTCATTTCTTGGTTGAATCCGGCCTCTCTCAACGGCGAATGGTGGGCTGGGCCGTCGCTGCACGGTGAATGTGTGAGACTTGTCATTCTGACCCAGCCCTACCATTAACCGATTTTTATGCCAAAAATCCTGCATCCCATTGATGTCTTTTTTCTTTTTCTTTCCTTTCTCCCGCAACTATTCGTTACGTTCAATCTGCCTTGGGAAGATCCAGGCTCGGTAATGGGCGGTCTAGCTTCTGAGAGAAAAAACAGCAACTGCTCACCACTGGCTTGAATTCCATGTCCAAAGAAAGAGAGCCTGATAGACCCGGGCACGACGAGTCCTGAGGGGTTTTGAGCATGGCTTCCTAGTTGCTCCTAGGGCCTGTCCCGGTAGGATGGTCTGGACTGGACATCGCCCGCATCTACACTACATCAACCTCCCCCAATCGTGTTCTTTCCCCATTTGCATGGCTTCGATTATTATCAAGCCGCCCCGACATGGTGGGTAGCCAAAGTGCAAGCCAAAACCTAGGGTGTCAAAACTAGCGCGTGTGGGATCCTGGACCGCCCGCCTCGATGCAGTAGCTCGCTTAGCCTTCATTACTTAAAACTCAACCCAACTCAATCCACCCATGTTGCCCCCTTTGCCTAGCATGCTTCATAATCCTCGGATGCTGTTTGTTGGCTTGTCCTTCACCCCCACAAAAGCTCACCCTCTTCAAAGCCTTCGTCACTGCTCCTTGCACTCCTCGGGCTTGTATTAATGCAACAGGCGATGAGGTCTACTCCGCGGCGCAAGCTGCTGAGATCTTGTTTCTTGTTGTCCGCGGATACCCAAGGGCATAGCTTTGCTTTCATTGGGGGCAATTTAGCTTTGCACTTCGTGGGTCTCAGCTACTGCACTGCTGACGACCCAGGTCAGGGGCCTGGTGCTCCTGGCGCGCGTCTTCGAATGCAGCAATATGTATCCATGCTGTGGCTGGCTACATGTAAGGTTGGGAGGGCATGGCGAGCTCTGAGATGCGAGCATCTGCCTCGTCCGAAAAGCTACCCCGCCATCGTGGTGAGTGACGAGGACTGAAGGCAGAGGCGGTGCGACGTTCTTTGCCAAGACATCTGCTGCCCCTGTAACTCGAGAGAATTTTTGAGGATCAATGTGATTCCATGCAGGAGAAAATTTCTCAACCAGACGGCCTGCAGCAAGGCGGGAAGGGTGAAGGGCGGTACGCCTTGCTTGGACGACTTCCAAGTCGAACAAGGAGGGCTCTTGTCACTCTTGCACCTCGGCTTTCTTTGACAAGTAAGCCTATGCCGAACTTAAAGACTGCTCGGAATGGACCAAATATAGAGATCGGGACGGGACTACAAGTCATGGGTAGCGGCGTAGCGGCGTGTGGCAGCACACAAGGCAAGGCGACGGCTCCTTGGCTTGCAGCTTGAGAAGCTCGCGGACCTCTCTGTGTGAGTTCCATGTTTGGTCAGATCGCTGTTTGCATGTTTCATCAAAACCCGTCTTCAGTGATACCTCCAATTGCACGGCAGGCGGATAGGAGGGGTTATCGAGGTCCCCGTCCCTTGAACATTGATCAACTGTTGGTTCCCTCCATGTCCACATTTGTTGAACCAAGACCGACGGCGCGCTTTTAGAGGCTTTTGGGTGTGGAGACGCCTGACGTGCTCTCTGGCCCCCACCCCACCACCCACCACCCACCTCCCACCTCCCACTTCACCAAAAGACGCAGTTGGATGAACTATGCGGGATCGTTGGAGGTGTGCTTGATTGCTGGACCTAGAGCTGGAACTGGAGGCGGCAATATCCCGAACCCCGCTGGAGGCTGCACTAATGGTAGTTGGACCAGTTGATCCCTGGCCGGATTCATCGCCCCGACCGTGATGCTGACGACGACCCACGCCTGAGTGGTGTGTCCTGCCGCGATTCTTCAATACCCATCCGATTGATCTGTCCTGGCCCATTTGGGGGTTGAGAGCGATTCCTCTTGCCTTGTTTAGCGAGGCGTCTGTGCATCCAGAGATGGCAAGCACGACCTCACGCTCTTCACAATTACTTCTCGAGTGTACTTCGTACTTGGAAATAATGGGAAGTGATAGTGTAGTTTGTTTGAGCAGGCGTAACCTTGAACATACCCATGTACCCTCCATATTGTGGACACAGTTGGACACAATTCTCATTCTCAGTTGGCTGCCTCGTCGATAGGATTGATCAGCATCAACGCCAAAAGTCTGACGGACCCTTGGTACCGCAGATGTACTTCTGCAAGCTTGGCCTTTCAATCTCAATTCCGTCCAATCTGGGAGCCAGAGGCGGCAGCATAAAATACAACCAGAAGTATTCATGTCCTGAGGAAGCAGTGCTTGAGCCCTGGAGAGGGCAAGAGGGGGTGCCTTACATCCGTCCAGGGCCACCCCCGCCATCCCTTATTCCCCGCCGCTATTGTTCGACAGCGTGACAAGACGAAAACCATCCATCGATCTATTCGCTCCGTGTGCTCAAATCAAAGGATTCTTTCCAGAGCATCACCTTGCTTTTTCTTCCCTTCCCGCCCCCACTCGTCTGCATCTGCGCTTGATGAGAGGCCTGGAGTTGCGCCGGCACATTCTTCGAGCCTATCGCGAAATGAACGAGGTCTTTTTCTTCTTCTCCCTCCTTTCCCGCTACCCTTCACCTCAAGGGTCTAGACTTGACGCTCGGCACTGCTCTCCTCACTGGACTTCTCAAACAGCCTTTACCCTGCGATAACTGGCACGAGACCGGAGTTTGGCAGTTTCCTTTTGTTCTCCCCCTTTTGGCGAGAAGCTCCCTAGAAATTCGTGAGGTCCTCAAAAGTGCGAGCCTCGAGGTCAATATTTAAATCTTCACGCGCGAGTCCTGCTTGGACACAAATCCGCCAGTGTGACCCATTGATCTTCTTGGTCTGGCCCTGCCAACCCCAGTCTCCTTCCGACAGACAAAATAAACAACCCTTAAACGGACACACGAAGCAAGAAAAAGGAAGAAAAAGAACCCGAAAAAAAATTCAGGGTTTGAACGGCAAGCAAGTGAGAGCGGAAAGCGAGGAGCGTGCGTGGAGAAGGTAGAAGTTCCTCTACGACCTCTTTGCTTCTTATTCGACGAACCCCGGTTGTGCCGCTCAGCTCTCGCATCTCTCGAACCCCCTTCCACCCGTCTCCTTCCCCACCCTTGTCCCCGGCGGACTTCGGCTCGCCGCCGTGCAATTCGATCTCCTTCTCTCCTCCCCCAAAGAAAATTAAGCGTGGCGCATCAGCAGGAGAAAACAATCACTCGACGGAACATCGACAGCACTCGCGAAGCAATGCCATCGTCTCTCCTCGCCTAGCTTCACCTATACTCATAAGACGAACAATTCGAAGCGTCCTCATCGATCCGAGCGACTGGAACTGAATCGAACCAACGAGAGGAAACACCCTTACGCGGCTAAGCTTTTTCTCTTTTTTCTTTTCCTTCTCTTTAAATTCGGTTCTTCTTTTGTTATCCACAACATTTTGGAGAGACGCATTAAGAGTAGCCGACGGGCAAAACATCTCTCCTAAGCCGACGAGACGTCATTCCCGTCTGGAACCCCTCTGACGTGCCCACCTCGACACTCCTTTACCGAAACCGTTGCTGGCCAAAATCGACATCTAGAAAAGACTAGGGAATAAGCAGCGGGAAACTCCAAGGCTGACGGCTGGTCCGGACGATAGACGCAAGACCTCTTTGTGCTCAAAGCTTCACTTCGAGTCCCAGCCATGGACCCCTCCTTCGTTTTCCAGCAGGGCTTTCAAGCCCCGCCACTCCAGCCGACCCAGCCCTCGCCAAATTCTCATCGTCGCGACGATACTTCGGAGACGGACGGCAATTCAAACCGAGTCGCCCATACATTGACTGCCTGCTGTCGATGCCGCAAGGTAAGCTGACCCACCCCGCTTTGTAGTTCTTTTGCCCGTTGGTGCTGGCGTGTTGCCTTGATATCGGATCGACTCTTTTTGTGTGGGCGCTGCGCTTCTATTCTCCCGATCTCGATTGCATCTGCGTCTGCGTATCATTACACTCCCTCTTGAAGCCTAATGGTTAGGCTTTCCCGACATCACATTGGGACACTGACTGACCGGTGGCCTGCATCTTGGCATTGTGCTCACAGCGAAAAACTCGATGCGACCCATCTCTCCCCGCTGTTTGCCTTGCGACCGCTCAGGCGTTACTTGCGAATACTACGATGCTACAAGAGGGCGTCTCATCAGCCGGAGCTACGTCATCACTCTCCAGGATAGAGTTCGTGCGCTTGAGGCGGAGCTGAGGACTCTGACTGAAGAGGAAGGCGACTTTTCCCATAACCGCGACGAACTGGTGCGACGAGGTGGCCTCGTCCGATTAAGTGCCGGCGATGAATCCGTTCGATACCTTGGACCTAGTAGCGGCATTGCCATGTCGCGACTACTTATGGAGGAAGCCAAGCTCTTCACCGATTCAAAGAGAATCTCGGAATTGATACCCGAAGTCCGCGCCCGGCGAGAGAAGCGAGAGGCTCGCATGCAATCCGTCGTCATGACGAACGCGCCCCGAGGCGAAAGAGCACATATCAATGTTTAGCGACCATCCTGCCCCATCGCTACCGTCGCGGCCGCTTGTGTCGAGGCTGGTGGAGATATTCAGCCAGAGAGGTAAGTCCTTCCCAAAGAACCGGTGGCAGGCTGCGCTCCCATTACTATCCTCCAACACTTGTACAGCCCCACCTTGGCTGTTTCTCGTCTTGTTTTCGGCTGGCAGTGCTAATATAGCGCGTACGTAGCCACCATGTTCTGGCCCGTGGTTCACGAGCAGCAGTTTGCCAAGGACCTAGAAGACGTCTACGCTGGAGATGAGGACCCATACAAGAACTACGTTGTGCGCATGGTCATCGCCATTAGCTTGCACAAACTTGAACCGCAATACGCGGGTTTGGCGGATAGCTATTACTTGGCGGCGATGCAGTTGTTTGAAGAGGTTGTCCGGCCTAGGGACTTGAAGGCTCTCCAGTGCCTCATATTGGTGGGTCAATATTCGATACTTGCTCCCACTCGGATGGCCATCTACTTTGTGATTGGGTTGGCGACGCGGATCTGCCAGGCGACCGGCCTCTGCTTTGAAAAGACAATCACCTCGTCGTATAACGCCGGCCTCGAGAGCCCGCTGACGCTCGACATGCGCCGTCGCCTAAGTTGGATTGTAGCCTCGATGGAATACGGCCTCTCTCATACCATGGGAAGACCGAACGCCTTTGGCCAGAGCGAAGACGAAGTCGACGTCGAATTTTTCTCGACCGCCCCGGATGAGCGCATTACGGATGAGGGCATCCTTCCTGGACCAGACTGTGAGAGGAAGGTGGTCGCAATCTACTTCTTCAAGATGAGAATGGTGCAAGCCGAAATTCGCCGAGTACTGTACGAGTCTGTCGGACGCGGGCCCATCGATGACAGCGACCCTTGGTTTGCCGATATGGAGCAGAAGATCCAGGAGTGGCACGACGGAGCGCCAACCGATCCGGCGTGGTGTAAACCTTGGTAAGCCTAACCTAAACCTGATTGTCTCCTTGCAAAGCCTTATTTTACCCTCGAAACTGACATTTCTTTTTCTTTTTCTTCCTTTTCCTCCCATGACAGGTTCAGCGGACGGTACTGCCAGCTGAAAATATTCCTCTATCGGCCCTCTCCACAGGTTACGCAGCCGTCTCCACGCGCAGCCGAGATTTGTTACGATTCCGCGGCCTACATCATCAACCTTTCCAAGCAGCAGATGGAAAAGGGGGCGACCGATGTCACTTGGATTTTCCTGCTCAACCTTTACATGTCACTCAACGTTGTCTTATGGTCTGTTTCGTATGCAAACATCCGGCAGGCTCACGCTCGCGAAGACGTTGAGGAGCTGGTTGACGTTTCGCTCGACATCTTGGAACAGTGTACGGATAGGTGGCCCGGAACCGAGGCCGCCGTAAACTTGTACTCGGTGCTCTCGCGAGCGTGCATGCAGTCGTACGAGACACAAGACCCCTCGCAGCATGCGCTCGGAGGCGGCTTCCACACCCTGGTTTCGCCAACTCGCAGTCACCCCCATCGACACACGGAGGTGTGGGCGCCTCGCCACAGCTTGGCCCGCCAAACCCCTCGCCGCAGTTCAACAACGGCGAGATACAGTTTGGCTACATGTTTAACCAGCCCCAACAACAGCAACAGCAGCAGCCACCGCAGCACCAACAGCACCAACAGCACCAACAGCACCAGCAGCATCCGCAGCAGCAGCAGCAGCGGCAACCACAGCCTCCCCAACAGCACCAGCAAGCGGGTTCGATGAATCCTAGCCCGTTTTCTTTTAATGCCTCGCCTTTCCAGCAGCAACATTCGATATCACCGCGCCAGCCAACATTCCGATCCAACTCCATCTTTTTAACCCCTCCTCGGAGGGTGGTGGCCGGAGGTTCTCGCACTTTGCGCCAGATGTCCCCCAGAGGGAGGCGAAGAGGCTACCCCGCCTGCGACGACGACGCCAATCAATCACAATACGCCGCCAGACGGGTCAGGCGGCGCTTCTCTACCGACGCCTCCCGAGTCTGTCGAGCCGGCTTCCACACTGACACCACCTTCCTTTACGGGGGCGGTTTGTCAACTCCGGTCATGACGCAACTGTCGCCGCCGTCAGCTGCCTCGACGCCCATGACTATCGCCGCGTCGATAGGTATCTCATCTCCGGGATCTCAGGCTTCAACGCCCGGAAAACACGTTCAGCAACAACCACTACCGACACACCATTCTCCCAACTTCAACATGGGACCCACTTCGCAACCTGCTCACCCCCAATCTCAACAGCAGCAGCAACAGCAAATACCTACCACGGCTGCACCGAACTGGTTCAGTCCGTCGGGCCCATTTGTGTCACCCTTCGCCTTTGGCCCCATGGGTGTGCCCTACATGGGTGACTCCAACTCACCTGGGTTTGCATCACCGACAAGCATGGGCCCCGGAGGGCTCATTTCCCCTTTCGGAAGCCAGTTTATGAACGCGTACCAGAGGCAAGGAAGCCTTAGTTTTGAACAACAAACGGAGCTGATGCAGGCACTGGAAAGTGACGGGCTTTCTGAAATAGATACCCTTTTAGGGTTGGGGCCGCCGACGAATAAAGTGGCGTGGGGATAGAAGAAGAAACAAAATATCGGGTGGGATTGATTGAATGGGCGACGCTGGAGTCTGTGGGAGGAGGACTAGGTTGCTATCTGGGCTTCATCATATCTTGGAAAAGTTTGGTGCACATACCCCCGCACCATCCATTTGATATACATATATACACATATATATATGTATTCTCCTTGTCATTTTTTTCTTGCCTTTTCTTGGTCTGATGTTGACGGCGCAGAGTAGAGAGACACTTTGGCCGCTGGAGGAGTAAGAGGTTGAGCTTTTAGAGACGGCGGTTTATTAGATGGACGGGTTAATGCGAAGAGCGTGTTAGGCCCGAAACCATTTGGAGCAAGCCACGTCCTCAATTCAGATATATATCCCGCGAGGGACCCAAGTACTTTGATCCTTTTTCCTCCTCATAACTATCAACAGACTATTTGCTGCCAGCTTTGGGTGTCTTCTGGTCTGGATAGCAATAGTAGGTCATCTATACAGATGACAATAGTGGCTTTTCCATTACTGTATACACATGAATCTTCCACGGATGCCTGTAATCCCATGTCCATAGATACTAAGGTATCCTGTAGATGTTGTCGATACCATGATAGAGGTGTGGTTCGTAGTCCATATAGACTCTTCAGTAACCGCCAGAAAACCATGTCATTTCCGTATCCTGGTGGATACCGGATCCAGATTGACTGGTCATCTAGATTTGCATGTAAGAATGCTGATGCCAGGTCATACTGACAGGTCTTTTTATTTCCTCGCCACTTTTTTACTATCCACGCTAGGTGCCTTTTGATCTCGATTGGTTTTCCTTGGTATCGTGTATCGTTGACTTCCTCCCTCTGTCTATCCTTATTCCCTTTCGAGGCGATGGATGGCAATTCAACACACAAGACCCTCGACATAATGAAGCGGGTGGATGAAAAAGAATGGTAGAGACCAAAAAAAAAAAAACCCGAAACCGAGTCCGAACCAATGCAAGACAAAGGTTTATTCTAGGTTGACAAGAGGGGAAGGAGAGGCAGCCAAGAGGGGTAGTTTTCCAGCTGTCCTCGCTGCGGCGGCGGCGGCGGCGGCGGCGGTAGGGGCCTCCGCTTCTTCTTCTTGGCAGCGGTGCCGGTAGAGACAAAGGGGACGTCTCGCATCCATCGAGCGACGAGGAGAGCGCGGTCGGTGACGATGGGGTATTCTTTTCCGTCGTCTGTGACGGACCAGCGAGCAAGGGCGCGTTGCTGCTGGGGCTGGTGTGGTTTTGCGGAGGGAGGGGGAGTGTATTGCTAGTGCCGCCGTTTGTGACGAGGGTGGTGGTGGGGGCATCGGCGGAGGTAGGGGAAGAAGTCGTAGAAGAAGAAGAAGAAGAAGAAGACGATGGTAGAGGAGAAGGCGCAGGATCGTCCGGAGAGGGTAAAGGAGCGGGGAGCAGAGGACGTCCCAGGGGCCGTGCAAGGCGGGGGCGAGGTCCGTTTTCTCGAGGATGTCGACCCAGTCGGCGCGGGCGGCGGAGCGACTGGCCTGGAAGACGGGGTAGGCGTCGGCGAGGCGGGCGAGGCGGGCGACGTTGTGAGCGTGGCGGACAAGCTCGGTGCGCGAGGTTTGGAGGAGGCAGTGGCAGAGGAGGAGGGAGTGGAGGGCCTCGGTGAGCAGAGGGTGGTAGGTGCAGGCCTCGCTGGTGGGGGCGGGTTTGGCGGGCAAGGAGTTGGAGGAGGAGGAGGGGCGGCGGTGATTGGTGTTGGCGTCGGCGTCGGCGTTGCTGAGGCCCGCGGGGGTAAAGGGGTAGACCTGCGGGTGGGGAGGCGGCGAAGAGGTCGGACACGGGGTAGACGATGCGCGGGGCGAGGGTGGCGCCGGGGGTAGAGGGTGGCGGGGTTGCGGGCGCCCGAGGCAGCCTGGCCAATCTTTTCGGTGAATTCGTTGACGGCGTCCTGGGGCATGTGCGGGGTGTAGTCGAGGTGGGCGAGGAAGGCGAGGAAGTCTTTAAGGGCGCGTTTCGCGTGCGCTTTTACGGTTTTGCGGGAAGCGAGGATTTCTGGGTCCATGGGGGTTTCGGGGCGGCGATTGGTCGGAAGGGGAACGGGGGAGGTATTGTGGCGGTTGTTGTTGCTGCTGCTTCTGCTGGGAGGACAAAGAGGGTGGTAGGGTCGGGACAGCGAGATCTGGGCTGGACAGGGACACGGTATCACGACCGTGATCGCATGCGAGGGTGAGGTAGGCACACGCGCGCATAAAGAGCAACTGCGGGATCAAGCTCGTCGGCTGCTCCTCCTCGCGTAGCCTCACGTTGGGAGGGCGCTTGCCGGCGAGGGCGGATGCGGAAGCCCCGTTTGCGTTTGGGGAGCCCGAGGGTTCCGAGGAGGAGGGCGCGGGCGCGGGGGTTCGGGTGCCTATTGCCGTAGAGGCGGTGGACGTCGAGGGCGGTGGTAAAGTCGCTGACGGCGCCCTCAAAGTTGTGCATGAAGCCGCGGATCATGGCGCGGGTACGGTAGGGTTCCGGGTCGGTGGGGCAGGCGGCGATGATGTCGTTGAGGGGCTCGAGGCTGGTGTGGTCGGCCAGCTGGCGGGAAGGGATCTTTTCGTGGAAAAAGTGCACGTACTTGCCGTCGACCTCGTCGCGGTTCCGGTGCAGGACGTTGGCGCCAATGTCGTCGAGGGTGGACGCGCCCTGCATGGTGGCGACGCTGCAGGCGATTTCATCGAGGCGGTAGGCGCGGGCGAGCTTCTGGCAGGCCTGCAAGTTCATCCTGTACCTCCGCTCCCGGCTCAGGCGGGGCCGTGCGGCCCGCCCGGGCCCAGGCCCAGGCCGGCGGAGCCTCCGCCACCACCGCCGCCGCCGTTGCCGCCGCCCCCGAAGCCACCGGCAGTCATGTGGGAGGGCCCGTCAGAGGCGGCACGGACAGAGAGGTCGGTAGCCTCTTCGACGAGCTTCCGGATCTTGATGGCGTCGAAGAAGACGGCCGGGTCTATGGGGTGGGGGCGGGGGTGTTGTAGTTGATGTTGGCCATGATTTCGAGTATCTCAATGGGCATCTGAAGCCAAGGGCCGTGGAAGCAGGCAATGTAGCGCCAGTGTCTAGAAAAGGAGGCGAGGTTAGAGACGAAAACAAGTCTTAAACTCATGCCTCAACCGTATCTTGCGGTGGTGAGGGTGGGGAGTTTCGTCCTTTTCTCCGCCCTCTCTTCCATTCGAGGAGACTCAGACTCACTTGTTCCGGCATATTATAAGCGGAGACGGGGAAAAGCCACCCGCCTGCTTCGTCTTGCCCTTGATCGGCTTTGCATCCTTCTTCACTACCAACGAGGAGCTCGGGGCATCGGTGGTGGTAGCACTAGCTGGAGCGGCAGTGGTAGCGGAAGAGCTCGAGGGGGTGGTTCGGAAAGGGAGGCAGCCGATACATTCCCGAGGGTTGGCGCTTCTTCCCCATGGCTGTTTCCCTTTCGGTGGCAAGTCGTAGAGTTGTCCAAGGCATGCGTTCGAGGAAGTGGAATAAAAAAGAAAGAAGAAGATTGGTGGGAGTGGGCGCGCGCGAGCGGGAAGAAGAGCTAGATTGTGGTTCAGGCCGGAAAACGCTATGCGTCGTCGTTGGCCGCTTCAGTGGTCGTTGGTGGGGTCGCGTATCGTGGGAGGAGCAATTGAAAGGAGAAAAGACCACACAAAAGAAGAGAGGAAAAAATCGGCAGACGAGCAGTCAAGCTCGGCGGATATTCGAGGAGGACGGCGAATGTCCGGCTGGTGGAGCTCCACAGTCTTTTGCTTGCCAAATTTGCTCCTCGGGGCCCTTTCAATGGCAGCCAGGGTTGGGCGGTGCTGTGTACGGGGATGGGGGATTCAGGGGCGGAGAGCAAGAGATCGTGAAGCTTCCCCCATTTTCCGGGCGAGTTGGTTCCTTCCCAATTGTCCAATGTCTCTCTTTCTCTCTCGCGATTGGAGCATTGTGGAAACGCGCTTGCTTCTTGGGGCGGAGGCCACACCGAGCTCTTCACCGGGATCACGTGCGCGGCCTTGTGAACTTCATTGACTTTTCCAACTTGAACAAACCAGCTGAAACTAATCTATCGAAGTTGACGATTGGGGCAAGGGGAGTGATACAATCTAGGTAGCATAGACGAGGGAAAGAAAAGGAGATTTCGTCATCATCACTAGCCTCGTCCTTTTTTCATTGATCGACACGCGTCCTCAGTAGCTGCACTGTTCCTCTTACAAGTTTAGGCACGAGGACGGTTCCTGCCTGTACCACAAGGGCCAAGCTCCAGACTTATACCAAACTGTCCAAGGCGACCAAGTCCCAATCAACCCCATGATGCATCTTGAGAGATATCCAACAGACACAAGGCACCGCTCCGTGGCAGCGAAATGACTAATTACATAAAATGAACAAGAGGAAAAGTGAACCCCAATTTCTAGGCAGACAGAGTATATTGCATTTCCGGCATGCCAAAAAGAAAGAGAAAAAGAAAAAGAAAAAACCCAAGTCCCCATCCATGTTGGGGGACTATTAACAGCTCGCTCTAAAGAAAAGAAGAAAAGGAGAAAAAAAGAACCTATGTGAATACAAGAACCTCGTCAGCACCCTGAACCGTTTACTATCTCGCCTCAACACAACCCGCCAGTTCACCAACCCTCCCCACGTCAAGGTAGCCGTCTCCATCGCCCGTGTCTCCCGCACCAACACGATGACGTTTCCCCCAATAATCATGTACCCGCGTCGTTCCCCCACCCGCCGCATCCCACTCGCACTCCGAGTCACCCTTGACGCATTCGTCACAAAAGACGAGGCCCGACACGACGACGACGACCTCGTGCTCTCCTACCTCCCCTTCGTCGTCACTGTCCATGACTCGTCCCCGTTGTCGTGCTAGCAGAATGTCCTCGCCGCAGCTTAGGCAAGTCATGACGTGTAGCTCGATGGACATGTCTGCGTTGGTATTTCGATTTCTCGTGGTTTGATGGCCTAGGTCTTGGGTTAGGTTGGAGAGGAGGAGGTTGGTTCGTGGTGGTATCCTGAGTTTGATTTGCGTAGATGTGCTCTGCATGTAAAATGGTGATACGATGAGCTTCAAACGAAGGGGTAAAGTGAAGTGTCGATAAAAGAGTCCTCGGCCAAACACTAGCACGACAAAGAGAAAAGAGCCCTGAGTCTTGGCTTTATCACCTACGCTGAACAAGGTAGCAAGGGGAGAGGATGGACTCTCGCGATGGCCAACGACCCAGAGCCGTTTGGGTCCGTTTGAAGTGCAGAGCTGATGCGGACAGGAGAAAGCGAGAGATACCAACGCGTTATCAAGAACCCGCTCGCTAAGGGAAGGCCTTAAAAAGGAGTGATTGTCCCTTTATTCCGAGGTATAATTCAAGTTTCAAGCGAGGCCAAGATAGAAAAAGTGGCTTTGCCTCGTGCAGTCGAAAAGAGAAAGCCTAGATTGTGGCATCGAGGGAGGAGAGAAGAAAGAAAAAAGTGGAGAGGTGAAGAGGTGAAAAGGTGGGGAAATCATAGCCTCGTTTCCCCCGAGACGCGGATGCCCGCCCTATTTATAGTCCCGCTCCGGCATTCTCTCCACCTACCGAAACCGTCCGCCGCTCCAGGCAACCAAGGCCCGCTTGCGGCGGCCCGGCACCTGACCCCGAGTTCCTTCTCCTGCTGCCCACGACCACTACACGCATCCATGCCGAAAAGGACAACCCCGCGTCCCGGGCGCTCATGGTGGGTCGGATCTGCACAGGACTGGGCGACTGGTTTAGTCTCGGTTTCCGTCATACGATATCCCGGGATGGCTTTTCTCCAGACACATCTTGTCTATAAATTTCACCTCAGTTTCCAGATATATATGTGAATATCTGCATGGATAACACGCCGGGCGGAGAAACGTCACTTGCTTCTTTCTTTTCTTGGACTCGCTTTATTATCATTACAGGTCTATCTTCTCTCTTTGGCCCTATAAACCAAGAAAAGAAAAATAGCTTTGCTCTAGGTGCTTGTCTGATGCAAAAAAAAAAGAAAAAGAAAAAGAAAAAATGTTCAGGGGAGGCTACCAAAACGAGAGGCTGGCGAGTTGGTAGGCGGATCTATAGGATGGGGGTAGTGGAGTACGGCGCAAGTCGGGGTTCCCTGCGAGGAGAAAAACCAGAGGGCTAGGGAGAGAAAGGATAGAGGTTGGCCAAGATCAGTAAAGAGGATAGGTGCGTCCGACACCGACAAGTTCGAAGGCGGCGAGAGACCCTTTCTATATGTGGCCCAACGTCGGCACTGCCTAGTCAATCCCGACTCGCGCTCTTGGCATCGAGGTGGGGTTTCCATCGGTGACAGAGCGCATCGTTGGCCAAGGGTATGCCTTCGCCCGAGGCCATCTCGTGCCCTGCCTCTAGACGGCAAGGAGATCCATCTTTTCGGTCTGGTGCTCACACTTGTCTCATTGTGTGATGTCTAGCGTCCATCATGTCATGTCGACAAAGCAAGGCAGGCATCAACGGCCAAGCCGACCCTACAACCGCACTGTTAGTCAGACAGTCTCACCATAGGAAGAAAAGGGGAAAAGGGAATGGAATCTAGAACTCGACACTAGTATCCATGGCACGGGTAGTAACTCACCTCCCCTGTTTCTGGTACACCACGTCGCTGATGATCTCCCGATCCAGATCTGGAAACATCCCCGCCAAAGTCTCCACGATATTAGAATGCTCCGCTCGGTGCAGTCTCTGCGCCTCCGCAACCTCTGCGCTTGCCTGTCTCGCCGCCGCCTCTTCAGCCGATAGCTGCGAGCGCGGTGGTGGCCTTGGTGGAGGGAGGGCGGCTGCTCTCCAGCAGCAGCCCGGCGCTGGAGATCACCGCTAGGACGAGGTGACGGGTCTGTGGTAGTCGGCGGCGCCGGCGTGCGAGACGCGCTATGGGGGATAAGTGATGGAGGGGAGACGAGGAGGAGGCGGGAGCGGCGGCGACTGGCTCGTCAGAGAAGATGCGTCCGATTGTAGAGAGAGGTTTTTGTATGGTACGCAGGAGGCCTGCGATGGCTGCCTGATCCTCGCTCGGAGTATCAGGTACCCCCTCATTGGAGGATATGGAGCGGCGCGGGGTGGAGGGCTCTTCCAGCGACCTGCGAGTGGATGGTCCTCCCGCCTGGGAAGGCTGCAACGCTCCGTGGTTCTTTTCGGAAAAGGTTTGAGAAGGTCCCGCTTCCGCCGTAGCCGGAGATTGGGGCCGATGCTTTTCGGCGATGGCGGAGACGGCCGCCTCAACGTTCTTCTCAAATTCGTCATCTGTGATGGTCAGTGTTGTACGGTCCATGTTCTCAATGAACTGGACGGCGCCCATCTATATATTTGTTATTGTATTAGCACATGTAGTCTCCAGAGGAGGAATAAGAGGGGACGAGGGCAAGGGGGCCCGGATGAAAAGCTGCAGGGGCTAGGCTTACCAAGGACGAAAGATAATAACCAGCCTCGCCAGCCAGCTTATCCTGATTGCGGAATCGAAGGATGTACTGCACGTTCGAGACGAGGTGCTCCGGGTTTGCCTGAAGTACCACGTAAATCAAAAGCGGCATAAAAGAGTCGGCCGAGGTGTCCGACTTTGCGTTTTTGAGTAGGCCTACGGCAAGTTTTTGTCAGTTGATACTCATCTCACCCCCGATCTGCCCCCTGCTCTTCTCCTTCTCCGCCTTGTATCAACCAGCCTTGTGCGCTCGTAGATTTTCTTACCGAAAATGACCTTGCAGCAGTTCAATACGCAAATGATCTTGTCACGAGGAGCCCTATACGACTTGATTTTTAAGAGTTCTAGAAATGAAGCAAATTGTTAGCTTTCTCCCTCCCAAGATGGTAGAGGATGATAGATAAGATAAGGGAAAGAGTTGGCTCTCCCATCTGGGAGACTGTTGCAGTTTCACATACCCTGCTGGGCAAGCCTCAAGAATCGTCTGCCATTATCACCGACTGGTGGGATGTCCAGATGCTCTTCCCTCACCCACCCGTAGATATTGATCTTTTGGGTAAGGATGTCGTCCCTCTCTACGTCTTCCTGGTGCTGGCCGCGGCGCCGGGCCCCATGGGCCGCTCCCCGCCGCGCCTCTTGGGCTTGGCGTTGGGAATGGGTTGGGGCGGCGGGATAGCGGGCGAGAAAGTTTGGGCGTAGAGGCGGTTCATGACGAGCTTCTCCATACCCTCGCGGGCATTGTCGAATTCGCTATCTGAGACAGTTCGCCAGACCTCACATTGGGCCATCTTGTTCGCGATGAAGGCGAGGAAGTCGCTCACAATCTTGACCTGCTCATGCACCATCCACTGCTTCTTGGCGAACTCGGACAAGAAGGATTTGAGGTATCTCGCCACAGGGTCGGCCTTTTTATTCCGAAGCTGCTCGAGGAAGCGGTGAAAGTCAAACTGCTGGGTAGCCTCCGGCTCTGGCTCCGGCGGCGGCGGTCTGTGCAGGGACATGGTGGGAGACATGGGTAAATCGGAGCTAGCCGAGGAAGGCTCTTCGGTGAGACGGCTAGAGGAGGGGATTCGGGGAAGGTCCTTGGGGGCACAGGAGGACCGAGATCGTCGGACATGCGCTTTTGCAAGCGGGGATTAGAGTCGGAAGCAGACTCGCCCGAAATGTGAAGGCCGGCCAAGTCCGAGCTGGCCCGCCAGGTTGTTCGAGAGCGGTTCGAGGCTCGACTTCCTAGGAGGATGCTGCTGCGGGCTTGCCAAGTGAGGCGAGGTGATCTCTAGCCGGGGACTCATGACCTCTTCCGCACCAGGGCCACCGCCATCCTCACTAAATTGCTCCATGATGCTCTGTATCTCGGAACGAGAGCCTCTTTCCTGCTCATCCTCGCTCATGTACCGGCGGTCGTCATACGCGGCATCTGATCTCGTGGGCGACACTTCGGACGTCGTACGTGAATGGCCGTACCGCGAAGCAGAAGAGTGCGCCCTCGAGGGAGGGTGGGAGGCAGTGGGGGTTGCCGGAGTGGGATCAACGTAGGTGTCGGGTCTGGGGTCGAGTAAAGCAAGGCCGGGATTCAGCGCTGGGGATTTCTGCCGCGGCGGGGGCGGAGCGTGGCGACGGACGAGGTCATGATATCGGGCGTGTCATCGGCGGTGTCGAGAGAGCCGGAGGTGGTGAGAGGCGGGGGTTTTGGGATTCGCCGGTTGCCAGAGCAGCTGCGGGTGGAGGGGGTCCCTGGAAGATTCTGCATCGGTCTTGGGAGGTTCTGTCAGGTCGATCAGGTTGTCCGGGCTGGGCTTCGATGCAGGCGTGGGGCCGTTAACCTCATTCGCGGTGCCTTGCGCCCCGACGGTTCAGGCTTCTTGCCCGATTCCGAACCCAAGCTATCGTCCATATTTACCGGAACTTGGGCTGGGTCATTCTCGAAGTTTGCTGATGCGGCGGTGGAGGGAGGGCTCGAGGTTGGCGGTGGAGACATACAATAGGATACCTCACGCCGCTCTACGTGGGGTGGGGCCAAAGGGAGGAAGGGGGGTTTGTTCAGGCCTGTAATAGCACCGAAGGGCAAAGGCGGGCGGGGACTGACTGGGACCGCAGGAAGGTTGAGGTAAAAGATTAGATGCGAAATATATTGCTACTAGCGGCGGGATGCGGGATCCGGGGGCTCTCTGAGACACTTGGCCGTCGCAGGAGGAAGGGTTTGGAGGAGGGGCAGCGGTTAGTTCTTCGCGTGCTCCCTTATTTCTATGATTTTCCCCTCAACTTTTTTGTTGGCGGGACGGCTCCTTGGTCGACACAGCACGACCCAAATTGTGGGGTCGGTCGATCGATAGCCGTGAGCTTGTATGATCAGGAGGTTTCCCCAGGAACTGCCGGATAAGAATGCAGACTCGGAGAGGTTACGCGGGCGGCGGGGAGCAGTGATGTTGAAAGGGAGGGGGTCCTTTCTCGAGGGATCAATGTAAGGGTAATAAACCACCAATATCTTGGGGGAGGGGAGGCGAAGAGGAAGCCGACGATGATGGGACTGTAGCGGGTGCGAGTTCCTCGATCGGGAAAGCAATCCTGGCGCCCGTGACCCCGCCAAACTCAACATTCGAGGAAGGCAGAATCCTCCTTTGCATTAACCAACAGTGTCCGTACTGTGGAGTACGACGCTTCGGCGGTGAACAATCCATGGGCTGGCAAGAGAAAATGGGTGTACTACACGGTGCCGTTTGGAGGATGTGCACGGTAACTGGTCATGGGGGAAAAGCGGAATTGCAGGGCCCAGCTCCTTCATCTCAACCTGGCTCATGTTCCCTCCACTGATGTAATAAGATTATCACTTGGCGCGGAAGCGAAGCACCATGCTGAAAATAAGTCTAGCCCTAATATTAATGCATTTCTCCTTTTCGTTCCGAGGTATTACTTTGTAGAATGGGGCAATCTCTTAGATTTCCGAAGAGTCAATTCTCATAGGCACCAAGTCACGGACAATGGTAACGTCCAAGATAGGGCCGGCCTGTGTGTCACTGAAGCTTGGAAAACATTGGAGCTCCCTGGTAGACCTTGGGTTAGCCAGGCGTAAGGAGCCAGTAGGAGAAGGCGTATTACAGCAGCCAAGAGGGTCAGAGATCCTTTTAGATCTTTAGATCGGACAGATCTCTTGGGCTACCTCCAAAATTTTAGAGGGCGATGAGCGCTAGGCAAGAAAAACAGTCACTAGGGAGAATGGAGGGATCCGGAATTTAGGGTAAGCTTCAAAACCTCTGATTATCTTCATTTGAAGACATGTATTTCCCTGCTCCTTAAGTTGAAGGGAGATCTCTCGAAGGTTGGAATAATGGATGTTTCGACGGCTTTGCAAGATCTCTTGATGGATTAATGGGCTGGCCTAATCCAGAACTTGATGTATCAATAGGTACAACTGAATGGTATTTCTTGTTGAGCAATGATCAATTGAATAGGTCATCGATAGAGTGAAGTCAATGCAATGGGTCTAGCCATATCAATCGCAATGGAATCTAATCAGGCCTCAAGTATAGATTGATGGCATATAAGTAGGGACATGGCCCGAATTGACATTCATCGCAACAGAAAGCACCTTGGGGTTTGATAACTTCTCGTTGAGAGCATGGAAAGCACGGATCCCGAGGCTTCTTGGTCGGCGCTCTTCTCGCAGACAGCAAAAACGAACCAAGTCTGGACTTGCGCACTGACTTGACGAAGGAGGAGGAAAACCCCCAAAGCTCCGTGCTGAATCCCACGTGGGCGTTTCTTAGTTCCAGAGCTGACCCGGATCGTTGATACGATGACGTCTTTGGCGCTTTCCGTCGTCTTTCGCCGGTGTGTTGGTGGAAGCGCGTAACTTGGCCAGCGTGGAGAGAAAAACTACTAGGGCAGTTCTCCTCCCCTCTTTCTCTCATCAGTGCCTCCATAGATGTAGTGTACAAGCAAGTAATTGATTGAAGCAGGAAGGAAATACTAGTTCAAGAACTTGAGGGAAACCGCCCAGTTCATCTCAGCTTGCATTTCTTGATGCTATCGCCCGGTTGTTTTTCTTCGCTAGCCTAGTAGCTACGCAAGGGCCTGGCCACGCAGAGGACGAGAGTTACGCGACCTCTGCGCGCGCCTGCCCGCACCTATTGACACATTGAAATTTCGACGGCAGGCAGGAAGTCGCTCTCTCCCTCAGCGCAAGTGGGGGCTTCAATTGGTGCAACTCCGGACTCAATCCCCGCGAGCCGAGTACGACAAAAAGAAAATGAATGCATAAACTACAACGGCTATTATTAGTGTTTCTTCTTCTAGTTCTACTTCTTCTTTACTCATGAACTGCACGGCCCCGGCCCCTCGTGATATTCGCTGCCCCTTGCCTTCGAGACGGACAAAAAAGCGATTCTGCCTTTGATTGTTAAGTGGGCGGCCCGGAGAAAAAAAGGCGTTGATTGACGGGGCGGATGAAGACACCGAGAAACAATCCGGTTGACAAACGCCACTAGCTCGCCCCGTGCACTTGTTGTCGCGGGCTTCCCAAACGCCAATCCCGTGTATTGGGCCAAAAGGTCTTGGTTTGGGTGTGGGCCAGGCCTTTTCTTGCAAGACGAAACGAGCGATCGCAGAAGTCCGGGAGGGGCTCAGAACTGGAACAGGCGCTGGGTCAAAGTGCAAATTTCACTCCTATCAAGCCAATCTATTGCTCGTAATGCCCCCCCCCCCCGAAATACTATGGTTCCAATGTATGGATCTGGGATTCCAAGGAAATTCGTGTGGATGATAGTGGATAACCATCCCACCCACATCGCAGGGACGGACCCGCCAAACAGCCGACCTTTGTGGCAACATGCATTCGTTTCCTCGTCTACCTCGTCGGGATAGACACCGGACTACCTCGACAAGCTCGACAGAGTTGGCTCCAGTTCCTTTACGTGAGGTGATGAATAGTCATGACGAGGCGCTCAAGGTTTGAGATGATGGATGGATCGAGGTGGGGACTGACTGGCCGAAGTCGGCTAAAGTATCTGTACCAACAGCACCTTGTCAGATTGACGCCAATTCTGCACAGTCGACTGCGAATGTCGTTGTACTAGTACTTATAAGCCTCTCTCGATGGCGCCGTCACGAGCTGGCCGTGCCCTCTTTCTTCACTTCACGGTCTGGCCCTCCGCTCCCACGACGATCCGGGTGAATTCGATTTAGGGGAGATGGAAGTTAGCAGGACGCCTCCCCTGTCCTGGCTTGCCTGGCACTGGCTTGGGCTGTGGTCAAGCTAGCAGCTCTTTGCCGCCATTGACAGCTTCCCGCACCACGCAACCACGTTTAAATGTTGTTTATTTCTTCTTTCCCGTCTTCGTCTCATTCATCTATGGATCTCTTCGTCACGGCGAGAAAACGAGATTGATCGAGAGCATGAAATGACGTGACTCTTTAGACTTTTCTCCCCGCTCCTTCCTCCGGGTTTAAAGTTGCGCGCCTCAAAACCTCACGCTCTCCGCAAAAGCTTAGTTTCAAAAAGGACCAGAATCAAGATCGAAATCGAAATCAGCCCAAAGACACAAGAAAGCAAGAGAGATACCAGGTCGCAAGTGCAAATGCGGGTTCGGGCGGGCGTGCGTGTGCGTATGCAAGTGTCGCCGCCGCCGTGGATCAATTATTAGCGCCTTGGCAACTTCCTTCTTTGTCCCTGTTCCCGCCCACGGATGCGTTTCCTCCACTCACATCATAATCCCCAACTGGACCTTTTTGTCTTTTTTTCCCTCTCTTGGCTTTGTAACCTCGAGTCCTCTGTCCCCCCTCTCGAGGCACTTCCAATTTCTTCCCTCCATTGTGCTCAAGGTTGGATAGCTAGACTTGGGAGCAAGATCCACCACATTGGTGTCAACTCCCCCAAACCCATCCTTCTCTAGATCTTGGGCTGTAGCGTCAGGGTATCCCATTCGCGACTCCTGCCCAACCTACGGCCACTCACCTCCGGCAATGCCGGATTGATCGGGAATAGCAACTCTCTCATTCCACTTGACAATCGCTCGTTTGTTTTCTCATTCGCGGTCCGCCGACGAACCGCAGCCACTCGTTTGAATCGCCGTTTCTTGTTATTTCCTCTCTTATAGACTATGACCTAGCTGTCTCCTACCGCGTAAAGCACGCACCTACATCACCATGGTCCAAGAGGTAGAGCCAGGCGGCTCCGCGGCTCCCGAAACCACCATCGGCCCCGTCCCGACCAAGAGCAGCCAGCGCATGTCTAGAGCCCAGTTACTGAACCAGACTGTACGGAACGGCGTGCATAAAGTGTACAAGAGGGTCTTTCTCGAATTAATCTTCCGCGAGAAGCCCCTCTCACCCTCCAAAGATGGCCGGCACATCCCCTCGAACCCGGCCGAGAGCACCCGCTCACCGACGACCGTCGCGGCCGCTCTTACATCGACAACTCCATCCGGACCGCTCGCTATACCGTTATCGATTTCTTCCCCAAGCAGCTCATTTTCCAGTTCAGCCGCATTGGCAACTTTTACTTTCTGTGCGTCGGCGTGCCCCAGACAATTCCCGGCCTCAGCACCACAGGCAACTACACCACCATCCTCCCTCTCATGTTCTTCGTCCTCCTCACCATCGCCAAGGAGGGCTACGACGACTGGAAGCGCCACCGTCTCGACAACGTTGAAAATGCCGAGGCTGCCATGGTACTGAAGAGCTCATCCACTCGACCCCACGTTGTTGTGAAAAAGGTCAAGCAGAGCCGCATCCCCTTTCACTACAAGGGTATCAGTGAGCCGCTTCGGGAGCTTGACGAAGAGCACGATGGGTTGAAATGGGTGTCGACCAAGTGGTGCGATATTCAAGTCGGGGACGTGATCAAGCTGGCTAGAGACGAGCCCGTTCCAGCCGACATTGTCCTCTTGCACTCGGACGGCGAAGATGACATTGCCTATATCGAGACCATGGCTCTAGATGGCGAGACTAATCTCAAGAGCAAGCAAGTGTCCGCTGCTATCAAGGATTGCGGGACTATCCAAGGTCTACGTTCGTGCGCCGCCCACCTCGTCATAGAGGATCCCAATCCTGACTTGTATCGATTCGACGGCAAGGTGACGGTGGGCCACAAGACCTTGCCCCTCACCCTCAACGAGGTAATTTATCGTGGCAGCGTAGTGAGGAACACGCCAAGCCTCGCTGGCCTCGTGGTGAACACGGGCGAGGAGTGTAAAATTCGTGAGTCAATGTTTCTCCCTTCCCCATCCCTTCCCCACCCCCATATACTCTTGCGCCGACTCAAGCCGGACTCATGCGTACCGCATCTGCACCCGCTACCCGTTTGTCGGGGACGAGCAGGGGAACCCTTTTAACTAACCTATGTGTGTGTGTCTCAAGGTATGAATGCAAACCAACACCCCAAGGCAAAACGACCAGCGCTGGAAATCATTGCAAACAAGATCGTCATCACCCTCGCCATCTATGTCATTGTCCTTTCTATTGGCTGCTCCATGGGCTACGTTGCCTGGCAAAAGTCGGTGGAGGCCCAAAGTTGGTATCTCGACCACGCCAAAGTCCCGTTTTACCAAATCTTCATCGCCTACATCATCCAGTTCAACAATGTCATTCCCCTGGCCCTCTATGTCAGTTTGGAGATCGTCAAGATTGGCCAGCTCATCATGCTCAACTCCGACATAGACATGTACGACGCCGTTACTGACACCCCGCCAAGTGCAATACCAACACCATTTTGGAGAACTTGGGTCAAGTTGGCTATATATTTTCGGACAAGACTGGCACACTAACCGATAACATTATGAAATTTCGCAAGCTCAGTATTGCCGGCACGGCCTGGCTTCACGAAGCCGATCTCGATCAGGGCCGCTTGCGCAAGCCAATGACTCGGACTCGGATGATCATACCTTGAAGGAAAAGACTTCGTTTTCCAAACTGAATCTGCCTACCATTGCACGGAGACCGGCGGTGGCTACAGTGGAGATGCCCGAGTCCTCAGAGGCGCTCCAGACGATTCCTTCGACGACCGCCAGCCCGAGAGTATCGATGACGCAGCGCAGATCTTCCTCGCAGTGGCGATCCACCGCTCGGCCAGACCACGCCCAACCCGACGTGACTACCTCGGACCTGATGGAGTACATTCGTCATCGTCCCAACTCCTTATTCGCTCGCAAGGCTAGGCAGTACATCCTAGCCATGGCGCTGTGCCATACCTGCCTACCCGAGATTCGAGACGGTGTCCTCGAATACCAGGCATCATCCCCCGACGAGCTGGCTCTCGTGCGGGCCGCCCAGGAGCTCGGTTACACCGTCGTAAAGCGTTCGCCTCAGCACATCACGCTACGCCTCACCACCGACGACGCGGGGTCTTCGGAACTGCAGACCTTTGAGATTCTCGATGTGATTGAGTTTAGCAGCAAACGAAAGCGAATGTCCATCGTCGTGCGCTACCCCGATGGTCGCGTGGCGGTCATCTGCAAGGGTGCCGACTCCGTCATCCTGCCGCGCCTCAGGATGGCCAACATGGCCAAGCAAAGGTCAACGAGGTGAGGAAAAGCGCGGACCTAGAGCACGAAATCCTCAGACAAAGCCTTCAGGAGTCTCGACCTAGCCTCGGCGGCCGTCCAAGCTTGACCGCGCGGCGAGGAGGTCCGCCGGTGCGCGACGCAAACGCCCTTCTACGGCAGGCCAGCACCGCCAGGAGCCGGTCATTTGAAGTTGGTTCGCGGCCCCGCGATGAGAAACCGCGGCCGTCCCTCAACGCGCGAGGGCTATCGTTTGACGTTTCCAAATACACGCACCTCCAACCCCCGGGCATGGAAGAGCCTAATGAGCTGGACCGGTTTTCCTTTCTTGAAGATCCCCTGATCCACGACGACCCGACGATTTTTAGCCGATGCTTCAAGCACCTGGATGATTTCGCCGCCGAAGGCCTGAGGACGCTTATTTATGCGCAGCGGTTTGTGCCAGAGGGGAGTATACCTCTTGGAGGAAGCTGTACGAGGATGCGACGACGAGCTTGGTTGACAGGCAGGAGCGCGTGGAAGCGGCGGCCGAGCTAATCGAACAGAGCTTCGACTTGGTGGGCGCCTCTGCGATCGAGGATAAGCTCCAAGAGGGAGTACCGGACACGATTGACCGGCTACGGCGAGCCAACATCAGGATCTGGATGCTGACGGGCGACAAGCGAGAGACTGCCATTAACATTGCGCACTCGGCCCGCATCGTGCAGCCTGGGTCCGACATGTATGTGTTGGACTCGACGAAGGGCTCGCTGGACTCACAGATGCTTACCGTTATGGAAGATATTCAAGCCGAATCGGTCCACAGCGTCGTCGTGGTGGACGGGCACACGCTCAGCGTCATTGAAAACTCGGAGGAGCTTTGCGCGCAATTTTATGCCGTCGTGCCGCTCGTGGACTCGGTGATTTGCTGCCGGGCCTCACCGGCGCAAAAGGCACTACTCGTCAAGACGGTCCGCTCGCGTCTCCGTAAGATGAAGGGGCCCACCGGGGCCTCACGCTAGCCATCGGCGACGGCGCCAACGATCTGGCCATGATCCAGGCAAGCCACGTGGGGATCGGCATCTCTGGAAAGGAGGGTTTGCAGGCGGCACGCGTGGCAGACTACTCCATCGCGCAGTTTAGGTTCCTGCAGAGGATGCTCTTCGTGCACGGGCGATGGAACTATGTGAGAACGGCCAAGTTCATCCTCGCCACGTTTTGGAAGGAAATGTTCTTTTACCTTCCCACGGCGCTCTACCAGCGATACAACGGGTACACGGGCACGTCGCTCTACGAATTCTCGAGCTTGACGGTTTTCAACACGCTCTTTACCAGTCTGTGCGTGATTTGCATGGGCATCTGGGAGCAAGACCTGCGCGCCGAGACGCTCCTTGCGGTCCCGGAGCTGTATTCGTACGGGCAAAGGACATGGGCCTCAACATGCCTAGATACGTCGCCTGGATGTTTATGGGGGCGTCCGAAGGCGTGCTCGCGTGGTTTGGCGTGTGGGCGGGCTACGGGTGGAAGGCGAGGCTCAGCGACCAGGGACTTTTGCGCTGGGCAACCTCTCGTTTACGGTGGGGGTCCTGTGGATCAACTGGAAGCTTTTGTAAGTGTATCCCGTCTTCATCCCACTCTCTCTCTCTCTCTCTCTCTCTCTCTCTCTCAGCATTTTTAAGTGGCAACTAATACTCGAGGCGCATTAGTATCATGGAAACGCACTACAAGACTGGCATCGTCATGTTTTGCTTCTTTCTAACGACGATTGGATGGTGGGCGTGGCAAGGATTCTTGTCCGGGTCGTATGCGCGCACTCCGTCCATTTATGCCGTGCGCGACGGCTTCGCCAAGACATTTGGACCCGATCCGGCGTGGTGGGCCACGCTTTTTGCTGTGTTGGGTGTGCTAGGCCTGCTCGACTTTAGTCGCAAGCTCGTCAAGAGGACGCTCATCGGACTCGACTTGTGGAGGTGGCCCCCTGGTCGACCAAGGCCAGGCTCGAAGGGGACGTGGAGGTGGAAGTATGGCAAGAAATGGAGAAGGACCCGGAGACATGGGCCAAGCTTAAGAAGCTTGCGGCGGACCATCAAGGGGGAAACGCAGAGCCTGAAGGAGCATAGATGCTCGAAGGAGAAGTAATGCATGGGGAGCGGAAAGAAGGGCGTGAAGGCTACAGCGGGCCCTTTTCAACGACCCTTTGGTTTATCCTATCTAATGCCCCCATCATTTGGCGTACATACATATACATGGGTGGGAAGGGGGACTCGTTTTTTCGTTTTTTTCGTTTGGTCTTTTGGGTTGGTTTCTTTTTCTTCTTCTCATAATCTGATACCCAGCCTGCGAAGCCAGCAGGTTCTTTCTCCTTTTTGACCGTTGTCGAGATCACGGGTCTTGGAAATTACATACCAAGATGAAGTAATAATGAATAAGGATAATTATCATACCATGAAACCTCGGTGCTTCCAGAAGGATCTGATGGCCTATTGTGAATTCTAAAAAGGAATTTTAGCGGCTAAGGTAGGCAAGCAGTCGTTCCACATCGTCGGGAGAGAGCTGAGACATTTCCAGAAGTCTAATTTTTATTTATATATTAATCTATATCCAGCAGACACTATAGGGCTATCCAAGGGCATTGATGGCCTCAATGAAATGTTAACGATAAAGAAAGAAGGCAATTGGGCGAGAGTGAACTTGTGGCTGAAGATGGCGACAAAACAAACCCTCCAAATCCATATGCTTTGGTTGGTCTTGACTCGCACCTGGTCATAGTATCAGGCTGATGGTTCTGTGCAAGCCCGGGAGGAAGGACGGGGTGGATTGACGGGTTCCGCTGCCGGAGGCGACGGGGCCTTCCCGACGATGCCAGTATTTCGAAAAGCGACGGCGACGACGAGGAAGGAACAGACGCCGAGGGAGAAGGTCGTCCAGTTGGCGGCGCGGAGGCCGAGGAGGGAAGCGTGGTCCCAGGGGAGGATATCGCCGGCCTCGCGAATAGGAACACCGCGCTCGCGGGCGACGACGGCCGCCTGCACGGTCGTGGCGAGGGCGAGGCCGATGGCGCGGCCGACCTGACCGACGGCGTTGAGGAGGGCGGCGCCGAGAGCCTGGTCGTGCGGGGCGAGGGCCTGGGAGGTGTAGAGGGTCAAGGGGGCCAGGTAGAGTCGGCGCCGAGGACGGAGAGGGCCATGGCGGGAGGCCGTAGGCGAAGTAAGAAGTGCGGGGGGATGGGGAGGGCGAAGAGGAGGGAGGCGAGGGAGACGCAGGCGGTGCCGAAGAGGAGCATGTGCTGGGTGGGGACGCGGTGGAGGGTAAGAGCGACGGCGAGGGCGACGAGGGCGCCGACAACGCCGGTGGGGAGGAAGCGGAGGGTGGTTTGGAGGGTGGAGAGGCCCTGGAAATCCTGGTAGAGGTAGGTGGCGAAGACGAGGAAATTGTTGAAGGAGGCAAAAAAGCCCATGATGGCGAGGGCGGCGGCGAAGCGGCGGTTGCGGAAAAGGGAGGGTTTCATGAGCGGGGCGCGCGAGGTGCGGTTCTCGAGGTGCCACTGCCAGGCGACGAAGGCGGCGACGACGAGGAGGGAGGCGGCGATGAGGGCGGGGATCCAGGGGTGGACCAGCCGACGACGTTGCCTTGGGTGAGGGCGAAGAGGAGGGCGAAGATGGAGGTTGTGATGAGGGCGGCGCCGATCCAGTCGATGGAGGCGAGGGAGGGTTTTGGTGGGAGGTGCGTCGGATCGGGACTCGTTTCGTCGTTGGGGAGGGAGGATGGAATGTGGGATGGTGGAGGTGGAGGGATGACGAAGATGCTGGCGGCGGCGACGAGGCCGGAGAGGATGGCCATGACGCCAAAGACCCATTTCCAGGAGGTGTATTCGGAGATGAAGCCGGCGATGAGGGTGCCGAAGACGCTGCCGAGGGGGCGCCGGCGCCTGGGAGGAGAGTGGGTGTTAGTCTGGTCGCGGCGCGTTTATTTCTTGCGGGGGTTACGGCAGGTAAGAGGGGGGTATCGTACCGTAGGCGCTAAAGGCGTAGTTCTTGGCCTTGCCGGCGGGAAAGGTCGTGCCTAGGATTCCGATGGCGGTGGGGATGTTGGCAGCCGCACCCTGGTTGACGGAAGAAACGAGGACATGGCATTAGTATAAACGAAGAATGAAAGAAGAGAGAAGGAGGTAAGAGAGAGAGAGAGAGAGAGAGAGAGAGGGAAACAAGGACGAAAAACCCCGTACCAAGCCGTGCAAGCCACGAAACAGGGAAAACGCAATCTCGTTTGTCAAAAACGGATTCACGGCCGACACGACAGCGACCCACGCGGTGCCGGCAGCGAAGAGGGTGCGCTTGCCGTAAATGTCGGCGATGCGACCCCACAGGAGGAGAAAGCAGCCAAAGGCCAGCGCGTACGCCGAGACGATCCACTGCAGACGGCTGGAGGGGATGTCGAGATCGCGGCCTATGACGGGGAGGATGATGACGGTGGCTTGGATGGAAAAGGTCTGCGGTGCGAATGAGGGTCTAGTTAGTTTGAGAGAGAGAAGACGCGAGGGAGAGAGAGAGAGAGGGGGAGAGGGAGAGAGGGAGAGAACTTGCATTCATGAAGCTGGCGCCGGAAGTGGTGGCCACGATGGCGATACACCTTGCCTTGGAGAAGGGAGGTTTCAACACTTGTCCGTGCCCTTGTTCTCGCCCGCTTCCGTCGTCATCCTCGTCGTCGCCGTCGGATATCGTGCCTTGGTTATTGTTGCCATCTTGGCTCCCCTTTGCTGTAGTTCTTGCTTGACCGACGTAGACGAAGACTTGAGATCCGCGGAAAGGGAAACGGACGGGGTGAAGCTTGCCGCTCGGGGTCTCGACTTCTCTGGGTCCCCCGCCATTTCTTGAATGGACGAATCGAAGAGTCGGAGTACAGGGACAAACCTATTCCCCCTTTTCTTTCCCAAATCGTGTTAGGGGTCTCTTTTCTTTCTACTCTTCTTTTCTCGGGATTCTTTGATACGCTGCTTCACGGGATCAAGACCAGGAACAGGGAGTAGGTAAAATGAGCGTACATGGAAGGGGAGGAAGAAGGGTAGATATGAATAAATGATGGAGGGTGTCTCGATGTTAAGAATGGGTGTAAGTTGGCTCAATTTGGTACATACACACACTCCAAAAGCATAGAGATATATCAAGAGTTCTCAAAGACACAACGATAATGTCCCAAGATCAACAAGGATCCTCTCTTCCCAGCCGGTAAAGGACCGAAAATGTTAACAAAAAGTCCAGGTGAATGAACGGAGGAGGGGTACGGGAAGCAAATCCAAAGAGAGAAAAAAAAAAAAAAAAAGAAAAGAAAGAAAACCTCCCCCACCAAATAAGTCGTGTTAGAAATCAATCAAGATGCGCGTCCAACTTCTTTGCATCGTCGACGAGCTGATTGGGGCAAATGGCGCAAGCTTCCACTGCCGTCCCTCCTGTCTGCGCTACCGGTTCCTCCCTTGCCCCGGTCGGAATAGCGTCTTCGGGTCTCGTCGTCTCTTGGTTCTTCCCTCACGAGATGGCCGAATGTGGGGTTCAAATCGGAGAGGGAGGGGGAAACCGTGGAAGGAAGGTCTAGGGTCTGCTTAGCCTTGCAGTTGCAGGGACGAGAAAAAAAGAAAAAAAGAAAGGAACAAGAAACAAAGGGAAACTACCGCTCCAGCCTATCAAAGACTGACGACCTCGAGTTACAGATGACAGGCTGGCTCCGGCGTCGGCAGGCGGAAGCGGAAGACGGGGTGTCACAGCACTTTTCAAGACATTGGAGTAGCGTAGTCCAACGAGGGGGATCGTTCTAGACTCGGGGAGGAGAAAAGAAAACGCGATAAGCTCAAACAAAGAGGGGGTAAAAACTGGCTGCTGTTTGCTAGACTCCACACGATGGTCGTCGCAACAGAGCAAAAGCTCGCGTCTTTCGCGCTCGGAGATGGGCTCCCCTACCCGCCGCTTGCAAAAGAAATAGTCAAGGGGGCTAATAACAAGTCCAACGAGATCCGGCATAGATAGGTTGCATGCAGAATGCCTCATCGGGCTTAGTGCCGTCCTGTGTCCTTTGCTCGCAAGCGGAAACCCGCGGCGTACAACCTCGATGCGAATTCCGCGGTGCCGCAGGTTCGAGACACGGGCCAAACTGAGGAATCCATGTCTGTGATGGACACAGAAAAAAAAAGAAAAAGGACTAGAGATGAAAAAAGCAAAAGAGTCATGCCCCGAAATGAAACGGGTAGGGATGGCACAAGGCCGTTCCGGGGTCAGCGCCAGCCGCCGATCATCGGCGCCGGAACCACAGCTCAGTCATCTCCGAGCCACTTCCCTCGCTCCGGTTAAGCACGAGCACCGAGATACACCACCATCAACACAGACATTCGTCGTCATCAAATTGAAAGAAAGTGAGGAGAAAGAAGAAATCCTGACAAATACACATGGCCAGACACGCTTGATCGGTAATCGTAATCGAAAAAAAGGCCGGGGAAACGAGATCGAGGGATATGCCATTCCCATAAGGCCTTTTGTGAGTCACGAAACAAGGGCAAAGGAAATTCGAAGAAAAACATCTCAAAAGAAAAAGGAGGGGAAACAATAGGAGATGGTTGGCGATGCTTGGCCATTCACCATTCCCCTGTCCTGTTGCTCGTACAAAGACAACATATCCAAGCGCAGGGTCAACACGATGCACCGGGGAATAAGGGAATAACCCCTCCTCCTTTTCCTCATGATAGTATTAAGCGCTTTCAAGAAGGAGAAAAAAAGAAAGAGAGAATGAAAAACAACTAAAAGTGATCATCCCATCAAACCATGACCCCGCCCAAAACATCGTCAAAAATCTCATAGTTGCCCTCCCTCCGCGTATCAAACACAGCGAACCAAACCTCCCTCCACCAACCCCCGCGAACTCGGTCTCCTGCAGCACCTCGAGCCAGCACGTCGCCACCTCCTCGGGCGGGTTGTGAAACGCCCCGCACCCCAGAGCCCCCAGCACCAGCAGCGAGTGCCCGCGCGCCCCGCCATGCGCAGGCTCATGCGCATCTTGGACTTGGTCAGCTCCTCGTCTCCGTGTCGGCAAAGAGAAGCTGCCGTCTCCGGTTGGTTTGGCCGCCGGCCCCGGCGGCCGGCGGGACGCCCATCTTGGTGGCCGGCCTGTTGATGGCCGCCACGCTGAGGACGCTAAACACGGGTAGGTCCGCGGGCTGGACGGTGGGGTCGTCGAGCAAGAGGACGTGTCCGTTGGCGTGGTCTCCGCGAATCACCACCACGTCGGGCGTGTACACCCCGTCAGGTGTCTCCACGGGTAGTAGTGGCGCGGCAAGCTCAGGGAGAGCGAGCTACGGTAGCAGAGGGCCTCTTCTTGGGCCATGGCGCCTCGGAGCCACCCGCCGCCCGGGTTTCGATGGGACGCCATGTTGAGAACCGCTACGCGGTCGGCCATGGCCCTCCCGTTGCCGGCCGGGTTCCCTTGATACTGGTTCATGAGCTCGATGGCCACGTTCCACGAATCCCCGTCGGAGATGTGAATCTTGGCCCCGCTGGTACCTCCGTGATACTTGGGGCAGTCGGCGGCCCGGAGGGTGGAAAGGTGTCTAGGTGGAGCTTCTCCGAGCGAGACGCGCGGATGGACGGCAGTTGCCTCAGAATGTCGGGGAGGAGAGCGCGCGTCTCGGCCGCCGTCCGCGCGAGGGTCTGGCGGTTGGCGCTGAGTGGTCGTCCGTTCTCCTCACGCCAGCTAAAATAAGGCTCTCTGGTCCGCCTGGAGTTGGACTGCCCGGAGCTAGATGCCTGCTCGGTGCTGGTCGTGTCGTCGTTCATCCTGCCGTGGTTGGATCGTCGCGCCTGTCGATGCCGTTGCTGAGATGTTGATGATTCTCTTGACTGGGAGGTGGATCCAGATGAAGTATATCTGTCAAAGTACGATAATATGGAGCGCTGTCCTGACATCGTGAAGAAGAAGAAGGGGAGGAGGGTAGTAGAATGTAATGTTTTATACGCGGGGTGAGTGACGGTCCTCCTTTGCGGACATGCAAGGGACCGGGGCGGGGCGCGGGCGGCGTGCGGCGTGCGGCGTGCGGAGTCACTGCGCTTCGAGGGTGTAGTAGCCGTTTGCGGCGTTGATCTGACGGGGCGATGTGCAATTCTCGACCCCTGGAATCTCGTAGCGTCCACCCTTGCTCTTTCGCATTCCACTTTCGACAAAGGCCGATGATGACTCGAGTCGGGGTATGTAGGCGGGGAGCGCGCGGGGCGGGGTTGAAAAGGCCACTTCCGGAATGACTATTCTCCTCACGATGGCAGGCTGTGGGCGAGTGAAGTGGGATGGATGCCAAAGCTAGCGATGAACTTGTACAACGAATCAAAAGATGATAGGGCTGGGCAACGATTGGGGGAGGAAGTGAGGAGGGGGAAGAGGAGGAGAAGAGCAACAAAAAAGAAAGAAAAACCCAGGGTGGAAAGAGGTGTTGAGGCGAAATGAGAATCAAAAGACGCAGGGCTGTGGGATTCAAAGTGAACAAGTTCGTCCAAGGGGAGAGAGAGCCTGGGCTGCCACCAGCATTTTAGTTGGGGTCGCGAGAAGCAGGCAGCAACACGGCACTCAGCCCCAGCAAAATGAAGCACAGAAGCCACGACTGGCTCCTCGCCCTATCCACCCCATCCCATCGAGATTTTTTGGTCGAATATTATGAGCGAGAGAGCCCGCATCCCGTCACTGGATTGTTCTCACTGGAGAGAAAAAAGGGAAAATAAATCGAGGCGGTGGGTTTGGTGAGTGGACCTTGCCGCCGCGTGATTCATCCGGAGCCATCACCACAGACGCATTCCAGTTGTTAACGGCCCCGGAAATTCTCACTTCAAGAGATTTTCTTTTCTTAGGGAGAGAAAGAGAGAGAGAGAGAACGAGGAGATACGATGCAGGAATATGAACAGATACCACTCCTAAAAAGTACAAAAATTGTTGGAATGGAAGATAAAATTCCAACCTGTCCAAAACGGTACGACCATTCTATTCTCGGCTCACTTTTTTCATACGCGACGGGTATCATGGGGGCGCGTTTATTCCAACTCGTTTCCTCCGTCGAGGTTTCTTCATCTACACTTGGACGAAACCGCGCTCTCATCTAATTTCTATTCATGTGGAGATAGTAAGGCAAAGGTCTCCCCATTCCTCGGTTCCCGGTGATAATACAAAACCCTCTCCTACCAATATCATACAAGCTATTTTCCCATATACACACCCCGGAGCCAACCCTCAGGCCCGGGTCTAGATTTGCGTATGGCCCTCCTCGGCCGTAAAGTACTCCTCCGCCATCTCGATAGCCCCCATCATGTTCTCCTTGTTCATCAAGAACAAGCCCTGAATCGCAGCGGGGCTCGTGCACCTCCTGCGCTCACCCCCGCCGCACCCCCGCCGCTACCCCGGCGCCACTCTCCTGCAGCTTGGTGCTATTGCTCTCCCGCAGCAGACCTAGCCCACCGAGCTTGCCGAGGAAGAGCTCGCGGCCCTTGCCGTCCGCGTCCACGTCGCCGTAGAAGCGATCCCACATCTGCGTAGCCTGGTACGTCGTCACCTCGCCGATGCGCTCCACGACGTCCACCCGGCCGGGCCGCTTGAGCGCGGGGTCCAGCCTGTCAATGTGGTTCGTAGTGAGAAACGCGAGGCGCTCCTCGCCCGCCGCCACGCCGTCGAGCGCGTTGAGCAGCCCCGAAAACGTGACGGTCGCGCCGCTGTAGCCGTCGGCGTCGCGCTGCCGCCGGTTGACAAACGCCGCGTCGGCGTCCTCGAGGAGCAGGATGCTGCGCTTCGGGAGCTTGGTGAGGAGGTACGCGAGCTTGTCGTCCGTCATGCCCATCTCGCTGAGGTTGATCATGGCCACGCTGTAGTTGAGCTCGCCCGCCAGCGCCTGGATAAAGGAGCTTTTACCCGTGCCTGGCGGGCCGTAGAGGAGGTAGCCCCGTCGGTAGGGGATCCCGCGGTCCACGTACCACTGTTGCCGATCCAGGAAATCCTGCACGTCCCCGACGATGCGCTCCTTGACGCCCTCGTCCAGCACCACCGAGCCCAGCGGCCGCTTCTTCCTCGGATCGCCCAGCGGCGCCACTCGAGGCCCCGCGCCGAGTACACGACCGTCTTGCCCTCGTGCGCCCGCTCAGCGAGCCCCCTCGCCTCCTGCAGCACCTCGTCAAAAATGTGCCGGTGCGCCCACAGCGTCGTCAGCTGCACAATCTCGTGCGGCTCGCCCGTGTTCATGTTGGCCGTGTTGTGCTTCTCCCGGTTCACCCCGATATACGCCCACCGGTACCGCACAATGTGTCGGCCGTAGCCCGGCTGCACGAAGAAGCTCGGCCGCCCGCCCGCGGCACCGGCGGCGCTCGACGACGACGATGATGACCGGGCGGCGGTCGTCGTGACCGAGAAGTTGTTGATGCGCGTCAGCCGCGACGCGATGAACCCCGGCTGCGGGCCCAGCTGAGAGAGCCAGGCGAGGATCCACGGGTACGCCGGGTCCTGCCGACTGATTTCGAGGTTGACGAGCAGGCGGCGGCGAGCAGCCCCGGCGGCGACGAGGGCGCCCTTGCGGGCTGTGGCGGCGACGGCGCCGAGACCTGCGAGGCCGATTCCGCCGGCGAAGAGGGGGTTTTCGAAGAGGGTATTGAGGTTGAAGATGGAGGAGGATGAGGAGGGGTCCGAGGAGGACACGGAAGTTGTGGAGGGTGCATCGGTGGGAGTAACGGCTGCGTCGTTTGGTCGTCTCGCGCTCGTACTGGTGCTCGCGACTGAGCCCTCGGGCGGAGGTATTGTCGCCATGCTTGTCGTTTCGAGGCTCGAGAGAAGAACTCGGTGTGGATCTTTGTCGAGAGTGCTCTCAATTGAGGGGAGCTACCATCAGCTAGTCACCGAAGCTTACGGGCTCGCCATTGGGAAAAAAAAGCTCGGGTGAGATCCGCAGCTCGTGTGTTGGGTGCGTAGGTCTAGTTTGCACTGTACGCTTCTTTCTTTGGTGAGCCAAGTTGGTTGTGGAAGCTCACTTCCCGATCCGGACTGTGGGGTTCTTGGAGATGGGGTCAAAAGAGGGAGAGCAAGAGAGATGCAGAACAATCATCGACGCCATAGATTTTTGTCACTTTCTCTTTTTCTTCTTCTTCCATATTTCTATTTCGTCCTTTCACAAAAAACATAATGCCTCAATTGACCAATCAGCTGCCGAGTTCATCCTGTGCAATGACACATCGTCGAGGTGGGCTGTCAAGGCATCACAGTCATGGAGCCTTCCATGAACAAAGAGCCTCGTAAACGGGTCGGCAAGCGATTCAATATCCTCGCCTGGAGCTGATCCCTGAGCTGCAGCTAAAAGAGGGGAACCTGGCCTGCGCGCGCGCGCAGACGCCAGCATGCAATCCAATTGATGGTTGCCTGGAGGCGTACCAGTCCCTCTTTGCACATCCAAGACAAGCGACAGACACTTTGCCGGAATTGGGTTTTCGGAGGAGCAAGTGAGAGTTCCTTGGGCGACGTTTCGTGGGGAACTCGGAAGTGGAAAAAAGGATGTGGCACGACATTCGCAATAAGGCTAGCCCCAGGTTGGGTGGGGGACGCTTCCCCTGCCCTGGAACAGAAGCGCCTTTTTCGCCCTTCTCTTTTTCGACTCCTCAGGAAGAAACAGAAAAAAGGAGTGCAAGCTAAGAACGAAAAAGAAACACAGGTCATGGAGGCTGCCACTTTAGTGGTGTTTGTTGGACAAAGAATCCAGGGTTCCCTTGACCCTCTTCTACACTATTCAGTAGGTTGTTGGCGCGACAGGGGCCGCGCGCGCGCGCCAGCCCAGAGAAGCAGCGCGGTTGGGTGGGACCCGCCCTAAAATACCATGAGCTGGGTTGATCTCCAGGACTTTCTGGGTGGTGACATGGTGGTATTCGCATCTTGAACTCCTCTACCTCGGTAGCCCCTTGCTTGGAACGGGCCAATGGTGGTGGTGGTGGTGGCGCAGGCGCCTTTAGACAATCACGGACCGCGAAGCTCCTGAGTCGGGCCCGGGCTCTTGAGACTTGCGGCCCCGCCAAAAATGCAGCTAGTGATGAGTCCTAGAAAATACGGGTTCCGGGAGAGAGTGTACCCTTCCGGATGAGCCAATGCGAATACCAAGGGGGTCAAAATCCCCTCATGGGGCGAGAGGCAGCTTGGAAAATACGGGAAGAAGAGGAAGAGGAAAAGGCAATTACGACACCTTTCTCATCAATCTTTCGGTTTCGGGAATCTCGCCAACTCAGATGTGAGGGTCTTGCCTGTAAGTTGGCTTTCTCCTCTCCGAATCGGGTCAGCGTCGCTGTGCGTCTAGGCTGCCTCTTAAACAAGTCGTGAACAGCCCTGATGCCGGTACATCAGGCTTCCACATTCCGGCACCCGCTTATCCCCCGCATGCATCAGCCGTAGGCAATCACTTTTTCCCCAATCGCAAGTGCTGAGAGTCGGTTACACATCTTCCTCGAAGAACGCCTTGCCTTTTGTTTCCTGATGCCCTGTTCTCTTCTGCAGAGGCCCTCCCCCTCCCCCTTCCCCCAATCAGCACCCCGGTTCAATAAAGCGCCAAAGTCCTACGGGGCCTGGTGTCTGAGCAAGAGCGGAGGAAGCTTTACCGTGTGTCCGTCACCCATGGGGCCAGCGCCAGGGGATATCAAGGTATAGGTGGGGAGCTAGGGGAAGCTCCCCTGCTCAGACCGAGCATGCAGAGGAAAGATGCACGTCGAGCAGCTGCGGGACCCTTCGATTGAGCTTCCTTCCTGTGTATATATTTCTGAAGCTCCTTCACGGTTGGATTGATGCCTTTCTTTTTTCCCCCTTTCTCCTCACATCCTTTCTGCCCTCACCTCAAGAACAACTAACTGCGAGTGGGTGGTCTTGGGAGCTGAGCTTTGTCCTCCATCTTGACAAGTGTATCACTTCATCACCTGGCACTCTTCATCTTTTGCTCTTCCTGCCATAAACCTAGTCACCCACCCTCTATCATTCTTTCTTTCTCTCTCCCTTCTACCGTTCGCAGGGGTTGACCTATTCGTTCCTGTTTGGCGTAACTGCCCCGCTTAGCCTATCCGTCCCACCTGTTCCCATCTTAAATTCGCCATGGGTTTCGTCAGCAAAAGGGCGGACGACATGTCTGAATGGGCGTGGAAGATGCGCTGCAAGATGATGCCCACTCCGGAGCCGATTGGGCGTAGCATTGAGGAGATTGACGCATCTTCTGACGATGACCCCAAAACCAAGCCCCAAGAACCCGAGACGGGTGTCCATGCAAAAGTCAAGTACTACTACGAGGGCAAGGATTCCAATCCGGGTGCCGAGCTCTACAACTGGGCCGACTACCCTCCGAAGCAGATGAGCCCCGCCGCGGTCAAGAACTTTGACATGTTCGCCATTACCGTGTTCAAGATCAAGGACCGCGACAAGGTTGCCCTCGGCAACCGATTCCCTCTCAAGACGCACAAGATCTCCGTCTTCAACCGCCAGTTGATTGCTACTCTCGCCCCCATTGTCAAGGAAGAGGGCTGCCATCTCGATCTAAACGCCCATGCCGAGTTCAAAGCCCCTTTGTACCGCTGTGGTTCGGCCTGCCCGCCATCATGGACCGATATAGGGCGGCTCCCCACAACGACCCCGTGAAGCCCCACCTGGAGCTCCTCATCAAGGTTCTCGACGATGCCTTCTCCGACATGCGACCCAAGCTGGCCAGCCTCAAGGAGGCGCGTCTTATCAATTACCGGCTAGCCTGGGCTTACTTCCCCACCGGCTGCATCATCCACACCCACACCAAGAACGCCGAGATCCTGGCCAAGGTCGACGGTCCCGCCTCGTATACGGCCGAGGGCATGAACCTTGACGCAAAGGTGCTCGAATTCAATGGAGATAGCTTCGGCTGGAGGAAGTGCCCGCTTCAGATCAGGCCCTTCACCGGCAATAAGCCCATCATCGACCTCCCCATTACCCCTCGAGTTTCACGAAGACCCGCTCGCCGTGAAGAAGCGCTTAATCAAGCGTGGTCACAAGATGCTCGATCTCCAGGGCCTCTGCTACCGCAGTTACAACGGCCTCGCCGTCCACATCAACAACGGCGAGGTGGAAACCCACAACGTCGAGAGCAGGATCTTGGTCGACGTCGTCGGCTACAAGAAATTCCACGACCCCCAGGGCAAGCGAGAGATTAACGATCCCGACGTGGTCAAGAACGCCGTCACCTCGGGCGCGAGCGAGGGCCTCGACGGGGAGAAGAAGCACTCGAGGTGGCTGTCCGAAGAGGATCAGGCCCGGAACAAAAAGGAGATGCTGGCCAACGAGGAGCAGCTCATGTTTATGGGCCCTTGGATTGAGGGCTACGCGCTCAAGAACAAGATGTGGGGTAAGGAATGCACACGGCAAACCCCGTAAAAGGAAATGGAAGCAGTCTGAGACTAACACGAATTCTTTTTCATCGCGCAGTCAAATTCTACGTGGAAGACATCGAGCCTATCACCTGGCACGAAACAGCCTACGACCATCTTGTCTATAATGAGGAGCAGAAGGATCTTGTCTTGTCTTTTGTTGAACACCACGGCCAGAAGCAGGCGAGCGCTTTTGACGATGTCATTGTTGGAAAAGGTAAGTTTCTTCCGAGAGCTCTCGGCCTATTCGTGCCCCATTTGTCCTGGACAGTTCAAATTCTAAAGTCACTGGCAAACATTTGGCTAACCGCGTCCCCTTTTCTCCCCTCGTATAGGTCAAGGTCTGATTCTCCTGCTCTCTGGTCCGCCAGGAACCGGTAAGACTCTAACAGCCGAAGCTGGTACGTACCGACTTGACAAAAATCCTCCCCTTTTTCCATGTCAGAGAAATCCTCTTGCTAACTAGCATTCACCAGTCGCCGACAAGACTCGCCGGCCCCTCCTCTACCTCCAGGCCGAGGATCTAGGCATCAACGCCGCCAGCCTGGGCGCCAACCTAAAGCGCCTCCTCTCCATGGCGACGGACTGGAAAGCCGTGGTGCTACTGGACGAGGCCGACGTATTCATGGCTACCCGTGAACCCGTTGACATTGCGCGCAACGAGCTCGTCTCCATCTTCCTCCGCGAACTCGAGTACTTCCGCGGCATCGTCTTCCTCACGACGAACCTGTATCACACCATTGACCCGGCCTTCCGCTCCCGTGTAAGCCTTCACCTGCTCTTCAAGTCCCTGTCCGCCGAAGCTCGGGCGTCGATTTGGAGAAAGTTCTTGGAGAGGGTTCCAGACCTCCGCATCGGCGGTGCGGCTACGTTGGTGGAGACGGCCCAGGGGAAGAAGTGGTCTTCCGACGACGAGGAGACCCTCGCAGACAAGGGCCTCTCGGACGACGACATTGCGGATCTGGGCGGGTGGAATCTGAACGGTCGCGAGATCAAGAACGCAGTCAAGATGGTGCAGTCTTGGTGCGATTATAAGGGTTACGCCATCACGCGCTCCAAATTGGAGAACGGCATCAAGGTGACGACCCCGCACGCCACCAAGGACAGCGAGGTCGACACCAGCCTCTACGACTAGGGAAGGAGATGGGGGAATAAAAGGAAGTGAAAAAGGAAAAAGAAAATTCAAAAGAAAAAGGATGGGAGGATGTGTGAGAGGGAGAAGAGGATGCGAGGGGCGTACTGTTTCTAGGGAAATCAAGAAAGAAACAAACTCCGATGGGGAAGGCTAGCTGAATAAGGGGTATGGCGTATTGATACCAGAGCAGAGAAACTCGAGCTCTCCTTGCTTTCTCGGGACAAAGTTTGGTCCATTTTATATCCAAGTCCGGGGTCGTGGCAGGATCCGGCTACGTTCCTTTCAGCTTTTTTCGTTTTTTTTTTTTTTAATAGATTTTGTTGAAGAACCTCGGTTACGGGATAAACAGATGTGCACACGGTTTGCAAGACCCCCAAAGTTATCAAAAGAAGGGAGAGAGAGAGAGAGAGAGAGAGAGAGAGAGAGAGAAAGAAAAGGCGGATTGAAACGAAAGCGTTGTATGTATTATGGCCCTACATGCGCGTAAAGCAGCCCTAAACCCGTTTCTCTTCTCCAAACGCCACCTTTGCCCCCGGGGCAGGGCAAAGCAAAAGCAAAAGAAGACTGAAAGAAAAGAGACCAAAGACTCGGAAACCAAAGAAAGGAGAGGAAGAGAAAAGGGAGTACGGAGGGGCAAGGAACAAGAAAAAGGACAAGGGGAGGAGGAAGCACTTGGATCTCGCGCAGCCTACAGGATGAAAGACCTCTGGAAACGTTCCCGCCTCTTCCACCCAAGATGATGTGTGGGCGTGAGATTTAGCCTTGCTCAGCGAGGTTGGTCCCCGAAGAAGGGATATACCAAGCCCCAATGTAAAGGAAAAAGAAAAAGAGAACAGTATTGCAACAGAGGATGGAAAGCAAAGAGCCAAGGGTACATGGAGTAATAGCAGTAGTCTTACATGACGAGCGAGGATCGGGGAGACTAGAAATAGGAGCCCCCAGAAAAACCAAGGGCACCCAATCCCGGTAAAGGGAACCGTGAAAAAGAAGAAATTCCCCTAGAGTAATCCCACCCAAAATATTTCGGTACACACACACACGCGCGCTCCTTGGGGAGAGAAGTGAGAGGGAGAACTAGTTTGTCCCGTGCTCCTTTACTCCACGACGTTGGGCGGCGACGTGTACGGGCTGTTGCTGTTGCCGTGCCTCAAATCCTTGCCGACCGCCGCCCTGATGATGCGCAGCTTGGCCTCGCGGATGAAAAAGGTACGCTATACTATCCGCTGGTCGTTGCGGTGCAGGTTCTTCATGAGGAGGGGAGGCGCTTGTCGCGTTCGTACAGGTAGCCGCAGTTGTGGCAGAGGGTCTGGAGAAAGAAAGGAGTTAGCAAAGGAAGGTTAAGAAGAGAGGGAAAAAAAGGAAGGGAGTTAAAACTCACCCTCAGACCCGCGGGCCCATCTCGAACGGCCCAGACGCACGATCCCCTCACACAACACTGCGAGCATCGCCAATTCTCCCGTTCCGCCTCCATCAGCGATCCGCTGCCCCCGCCTCCGTAGCCCACGTCGGGGTACCTCTGCCGCCGGGCGTGCCCGAGCGCAAGGGGCTCAAGCTGCGCAGAGTCTGCCGCCTCTTCTTCTTGTTGCGCTCGCCGCGGCCCATGCGCTCCTCCTCGGCCTCCACGACGGCGCCGAAGCCGGAGAAGGGGACGCCGCCGACGAGGCCCGAGGTAGAGCTGAAGCGGGCGGTTTCGCGGCGCAGGCGGCGGAGCTGGCGCTCGTGGTCGCCCTCGCGCCGCTCCATCTCCTCCTTGGTCAGGACCTCGATGTTGGGCTGCCAGTCGGCGCCCAGGTTCTCCGGGTCGTAGCGCACGCCGGCCTCGGCGCCGTGCGTCGAGTCGTTGGCCACCTCCTGCTGGAAGCCGCTCCAGCCGCCGACGACGCCGCCGGACTCGCAGGCCTCCTTCTTCAGCTTCAGGACGGCTTCGTAGATGCCGTGGGTGATGGCGGGCACCCACTCGCCGTGGAGGCCTAGATCCGCGCACGTCTGCTTGGCAAAGGCGTCGGCCATGCCCGGCGGGTGAAGCAGGGACCACTCGAACTTGTCCGTGTAGAGTGTCGAGCCAAGGGTGATGTTGAGGGAGACGAGGCACCGATACGCGTCGTCGGGGTTGAGGAGATCGTCCTGGTCCTGCGCGAGCCGCGTCGCCTTGGCCGTGACTTCGGGGCCGGGCGTGTTGGAAACCAGGGCCGCGGACGCCCCCGGCGCCGGTGTCGGCGTGTTGAGCCCGCTCTTGGAGGAGGCGATGGTCGTCCGCTGCGTCGCGTCGGCGGGGTCTCGCTGCGCGTGGAAGAGCGGGTGTAGGGCGACACCCGCGTACTCCTCGAGCTGTGTGCGAATCTGCCTGCTGATCTCGCCGGCGAGGTAGCGCGTGTTGGGGAGGTCGAGGTCCTGCACCAGCGTCAGGGCGAACTGGTCCGTCGTGATCAACGCCTCGTGGAGGTTCCACAGGAAAAGTCGCGCAGCCTAAAGGGTGGTGTCGTTTCCTGCGGTCGGAACTGGGGCAGGGACGGATCGTACCCGTTCGGGGGCGGGGGAAGGGGGTTGAGGCGTAAAGCTAGGGATCTCGACGTCGATGCGAATAGGGATCAAAGTGAGGGGCAGGTCCGACTGCGCAGCGCCCTGTCGGTCGCTGCGGAGCATCTTGGTCCGGACCATCCAATCGCGCCATTGGCCGTTGAGGACCACGGGCTCCGTCGCTTCCTTGCCGATTTTGTCAGAGAAATCCTGCTTCGCCGCCGAGTCGTCCCCTCCTCTTCTCGAACTCCTCAGACCGGACGGGCGCCTCCTCGAGTCGTCGTCGTCGTCGTCGAGATCATCGAAGCCGTCCTCGGCGTAGTTGATAATGGTCGTTCCGCGCTTCGTCGTCCGCGCTATGGGTCCAGAGGTGGCTGAGGGGATGTTGGGAACCAGCATCGAGTTATTATAGGCGCGTAGACGCGGCGCCAAGCTGGTGAGCGATGCCTGGGGTCGCGCGGGGAGAACCCGCTCAATCATTTCGTCCGACGCATCGTTGTCGAGTTTTCGGAGATCCTCTATCGTGAGACCCTGGAGGTCATGTAGGTCTTCCATCTTCATTTGAGAGCTGGGGGCGGTCGCCTAGAGAGGGAGAGGGGGTTGTGCAGAGCAGGAGGCGCTAGACCATGCGGCGATGGTCCAGTGGTGTTCGATTTTGAGAGATTCCACGCGCACCCTGCAATTACAGTGGCTCCTCCCTTCCGGTTATCGGATTTCGGTGTCAAAGTCCAAGAAACACCTCGAGTGTTATGATTCCGCCTTTTCAATCAAGTCTCGACCTGTTCTTTAGCTTTGCGCTTCGTGCCAACGCGCGAGCCAAGGCAAGGAGAAGAAGGAGACGAGTTAATAAAGAAAAAGGCCCAATGCCTTTGCGCAGCAGCTGTCCAGCCGCTTCGCGATGCTCAGACCCCTTTTAAGAAATGAAACCGGAGAATTTGGAGCGTGTATGTGGATGTGGAGGTTGTGAGGGTCCCGAATTCGTTGCAAAAAGTCGTCGTCGCGTGGAGCTATTCGAGGCTGTGATCAATTCTTTAGTTGCTTGTCGCGTTTCGTTGGCTTCCTGGGAATTCGGGGGAAAATTCAGTCTTCCACACTACGCTAGCGCACCAGCCTTGCAGCAATCCATCCACAAGCCACGCACGCCACACTTTCACCGTCTGTGCATTTCATCACGTGATATTTACCTCTGACATAATTTTTCTGGGGAAAAATCAGCTTCAATGTTGCGATTATTCCGCTGGCCGTGGAGGTGAATGGCTCGCCATTTTATCAAGTTTACAAGTTATTTTATGAACTCTAGAAGATAAAATTAAATCGTGCTCTAGCTACCCCTAGCTACGAGTACCATGTCAAGAGCAAGAACCTACAAGTTTTGAGATTTCCCTCGGAAGGGAACTTGCAGAGGGCTTCTTGCGTAGTTTGATGGGTAAGAATGAGGGCGTTACTCGTTCTCTAGACTCGGTATGTAAGCCGACAGAGATCATTGATACGACGAGGTACTTCGGTAGATAGGTTCAATGATTGGACGCTCTGCTGTACTAGATAACAACATAGGAACAAAAACAACAAACGAATAGAATTGATCCAACTTGAATCCATTTCCAGTATCATAACAGCGTAATAATACACTTATACAAGTTACGCTAAAGTTAAGACAAAGAAAGGCGTGCAATGTTATTCTGCGGCCCTGCCTTTCATTGTGTGTACACGATATCAATCAGGGCGAGGCACGTCACTAGCAAAAGAAGGAGGCAAGAGAGTTATGGTGAAATAGTATATATGTATTGAGTAAAAGAAAAAAAGGAAAAAAAGTATGTATATATATGCAAGATGAAGAAAATATATGTACCAAAAAAGTAGGTGTGCAAGAAAAGCCGTTACAATTTCTCACATTTCATCGTTCTCACTCATCCCTTCCCATTCAGCAACCAAGAAAACGACCCAGCAGAGCAAGGGAGCTTGCGTGCGGCAAACACCCGTTCGTGACTACTCTGCCTCCGCAGCAGCGCGCTTGTCAAACCGTCGGGCGAGGGACGATTTACAAGCACTGGCTGTACCAGTCGTTCTGCTTCTGGCAAGTGTAAGGAGAAGCGCAAGTGGTAGCGCCGGTCCAGCCAATACCGCCGCACTGGCTCCAGCGGGCAGCGCCGGTGGTGGCGGGAGCAGCCGAGGTGGAGGTGGTGGAGGTGCGGATAGTGGTGGAGGAGGTGGCAGTGGCGCGCGCGGTGGTGCTGCTGGTGCTGCTGCCGCCGCCGGTGGAAGGCTGGTTGAAGGTGCTGCCGATGGGGCCAAACTTGATGTTGGAGAAGACAACGTTGCTGTTGGGGACGGAAGCCTCAATCTCGGAGGGGACACCCGAGGTGGTGGCGCAAGGGCCACGCTGGGTACCGTAGCCGGTGCCGTCGACGGGGTAGGTGGAGTCGAGCCAGAGCATGTTGGCGTAGTGGTCGTCCCAGAGGGACATGACGAGGACCATGGGGGCGGCGAGGGCCTCGGACATCTTCTTGAAGCCACCGCGGGCGTTGAAGACATCGACGTCACCGAAGACGGCCTTCTGCTTGTCGCAGAAGTCCTGGGTAAGGGAGTTACCGGGGTTTCCGGGGATGGTGGACTCGGAGTTGGGGATGACAACGCCGTTCTGGACGTAGAAGCGCTTGATCTCGGAGAGGGTGCCGGCCGAGTTGGTGAGGAACTGGGTGACGACGGTCATCTTCTGGGCGGTGTCGACCTTGAGGCCCTTGCCGTAGAAGGTCTTGTCACCCTGGCGGTAAGAGTTGAAATCGCAACCATCAGGATCGCAAGTGCCGCCATAGCGGTCGTCGGAGTAGGTACCACCGCAAGAGTTGCCGGAGCAAGAGTGCTGGCTGTTGTTGGTGCAAGGGTGGGGAGTGTAGGCAGTGGCGGCGTTGTTGGCCTCCCAGATGTCCATCTCAGCGCAGCAGCTGCCAAGGCCACCGACACCAGCGTTGGCGTCGTTGGAAGAGGGCTCCCAACCAGCAGAGTTGGCGAGACCGTTGATGAACTTGACGTCACGGGGGCACTGAGCGTCGCAGTAACCGGTACCGTACTTGGCACCAGCCTTGTTGCTGGAGTACTTGGAGAGACCACCATCCTGGTCCATCTGTTACATCGAGGGCGGTTAGCATCCGAGAAGAAGAAAAGAAAAAGAACTCGCTAGTAGAAATCCCCTTCGGAATGTCGGGCCTAGCTAGGAAGAGAGACGAAGAAAACTTACAGCGACGAAGTAGAGAGCACCGTTGAGACCGCAGCCAATGTTGGAGACATCGACGTCGAAGGTGAACTCGTTGCCGAGGAGGTTGAACATCTGGTACTTGGTCTGGGACTCCATGAGGTAGACACGAGAACCGACGTTGGTGCCGTACTGGTGCTTGGTGACGAACTTGAGGTCGAGGCTGTTGCCGCTGGTCTTGATACCGTAGGTGGTGCCGTAGTCAGCGCCGTCAACGCAGCACTGGGTAGCGCAGGTGAGGCCGCTGGTGCAGATGGCAGTGTTCCACTTGTTGCCATCGTAGCAGTTCTCGGAGCCGGAGACGGTGTGGGTCCATCGCCAGTTGGCGTCAATGGTGACGGAACCGGAGACGTTGGAGCAAGAGCCACCGGCGGCGCACTTCTGCCAGCTGAGGCTGGGCTGGGTCTCGGTGGTCAAGGAGCAAGCCTGCTGGCGCTGACGGCGCCCAGGATCATGGAGAGAGCGGAAAGCTTCTTGAAGAACATGTTGGCGGTGTTTGAATCTGAACAAGAGAGACAAAGACAGGAGACAGGCAGTCAGCTACCGAGGCAGTGAAGTGATGAGAGAAGGAGTGTGAGAGAGTGAGAGAAGGATGGTGGATGAGGAGGATAAAAAAGTTGAGAAGATGAGCAGGAGTTTGGACATCTTATATAGATCTTTTCGTTAACCATCATCAAGCGCTTATTTCGTCCGTCCCCCGGTTCCTTTCCTTGGGAAAGACAAAACCCTTGCCCATTCTTTCCAAGATCATACGGCCCTGCTCTGCCGCTCCCGGCAGGTTTGGCAAAGTTCCCCAAGATCTCCCTCCCCGAATCCCCCACCAAGGATCAGGGTGCCGCGCGAGTCTAGCCCAGAGTTACATTTTCCTCGTCCCTCCCACGGCGACCGATTGCCAGAGAGAGAGACAATGCAAGCCATCCATGTCATTCTCTAAGACTTGCACACGAACGGCCATGCGGCCCGGTTGTCGTGGTCCATACCTGCTGTGGAAAGTTGTGGAAGGTCCCCGCTACCACCGTGAGAGTAGCACTTGGTTTTTTGTCTTGGCCCCTGACTTACCACTTCGGCCTTTGGTGGATCTCCCGTGGGGCGCTCGGGCTTCCTCCCATCAGATCAAGAATACCCTTCAGAAGCCCCCAAAGCAAAGCAAGCGCCCATCGGATTACCCAAAAGGCCATCCGCGAGCGTTGCCGAGGGGAGGGGCGTGAGCTGGCAAGTCGTGGAAGAAATAAACGGCACCGCAAAACCAATCTACCCTATCAAGTCTGGCAAAAGCTGTGGTAACCACTAATAATACAGCTTTCCAGACCTGAAGAACTCAGTTGACAGGGAGCTAGAAGTATAATATCTATCAGATTTGGTAGGTAGTGACATACGAATCCACCGTGGCAAGGTAGATCGGTTTTGCAGTATCGCTTTTTTCTTTCACGACTTGGCTGGGTCTCCCACCGCATACCCCCTTCCAAGGCCCCCTTCTCGCCGCATTCTCAAGTTTTCCCGGCCAACAATCACGGCGGCGAACGACCGAACGAGGTGCCATGCGCGATCCAGGGGAGCCCTGGGACTGGTTTGTCCTAAACTACTTGTAGAACGGAAAGAAGTGTGGCGGGCACCTCGACCTGCGAAAAATTAAACCCGGACATGGGGGCCAGGGCTTTGCGCTTGAGCACGACGAGTGCCCAAAACCCCTATCCCAGGACCAGCAGTCCGTAGCCGGGTGAGCGGTCGTAGGTGGCGAGAGTGGTGGAAGAAGCGGTCTTTCTCTCGGGCACTAGCTTACCAAAGTGCGCGTTTCCTCCAATTGGCGACCCGGCCATCGTCCTATGTTTGGGTTAGTGGCACCCTCACCTTTGATGATGGGGATGGGGATGGGGAGGGGACGAAGAACAATGAAGCTTCTCTCGCATCCACGAGACTGTGGGGTAGCAGCGTCTGCCGTGCGCCACCCCCGGTCTTGGACGCCGGAATTGGCTGTCCAGAAGACTAATCAAGCAAATTGGCGGGGGTCTTTGGATCATTGATCGGTTACAGGGGCAGCGCCGGTAACTACAGTGGGCATAGTCCTGGCCACAGTGGCGGACGGAGCTACGCGGTGTCGGGCCAGTCGAATTGAAGGCCTGGTCCATCCAGCCGACCCTAGGTTAGTGGAATAATGTGAAACCTAAGGGCAGGGAGCAATGGTTCAAACGGGCAAACATCGAAAAGCGCAGGAAACAGAGGCCAGAGGCGAGATTGAAGAGGTGGACGATCCGAAATGGGAGATGGTGCGTTGCATTGTTCCTGGTCATGAGCCGCCGGTGGAGTCCCAGAGGCCGTAATGGTTGGACGGACTGGGCCCGTGAAGGCACGGAAAAATTAGAGTGCGGCGGAGACGACGGACCAGGGGTGGCCCCTGCAAGCATCGTAAGGGTGGGAGGGGATCTGTTGGGATGGGATGGACAAAATATGGGGAAAGATGGGGAAAATTGGGGTGGTGAGCTCCATTACCGAACACTTGACGAGAGGGGCCCTCCGAAATTGGGAGGAGACCGCCCAAAACACGCACCTTCCGCGTCTCCCATTGGAGGCATTAATCTATCAACTCCCGCTCAAGTGGCAAGGAAATTTGAGTTACCTCTCTCAACAGGGTTGCAGCCTCGCCCAAAAGGGCAAGCATTCGGTCGCTTACACGCATTCGGCCTCGTCCTGGAGTCGCATCGTGATGGAGAACCGGCCATGCCTTAATTACTCCCTCTTCGGGCAAGCACATGTCGTCTAGTCAGAAGCCGCTTCCTGGCCGTAATACGCCTCTTCTCCTCCCACGTCCGGCGCGGTACCGCGGAGAGCTGCGAGCTGTGGCCGTCGCATCAATCCCACGATGTCCCCCTCCTCCGCAGGCCGACAAAGGAATTTTCAGCACACGATTAATCGTTGGCAATGTCACTTTGCTGGGACGGCGCCCGCGCAGGCGTGCAGCTTCCTGTCAACCGGCGGTGCATTGTCCCGACGAGTTTTCCCTCCCCCGCCTCCCTTTCTTTCTTTCTCTTCTTCACGCGCCGTCGTTCCGATGGCATTAGCGGCGGGACGTATGCTCCAAGGCCGTTCATTCACTCGTTGTGCCCTACCGCTGTTCCTCACCCACCACTTCCTTCCCCAGGTTGCGGTGCGTGTCCCGGCTGCCAACTTCCCCAGATCTGCCGAAAAGGCCCGGCGAGGGGAGGGGAGATATGGGGTGAGAAAAGAATAGTGATGAGACGATGAGAGCGGTGGAATCGAAGCTTGACGTTGATATCAAGCCTTCAACAACGGGTCAAGATCGATTAGAGTTATTAGAGGCTCTGCACTCGATAGTGCCCAGAGACGGCACAACCCAGAAGGCTGGTTTGGCTCGCAATTCAATGTTTTTGCCCATATTGCACCCGTGGCCGATCATGGCCGCTTAATCATTTTGGACAAGATTTTCATCCGGTCCTGGTCCCTCACCCTTTCCAAGACCTCTTGGAGTGACCCCCAAGTTGTAGCTGGGTGGATAGCATAATCAGGGATCTTCCCTCCCTTGCCATTTGGTTTCTTTGAAGGCCCAAATAGGGTACAAGGCTCGGCTAAAAACAGACCCCAGGAAGTGGGGATCGGACTGACCTCAAATGAAGGGGTCAGTCCGAATTGGCAGCGGAACGTGTATTTTGACCTGGGGAGCTTTGGTGTGCGCCCGCCCCGGAGAATCATGTCTTTGGACATGCTGCCATGCCATGACCCCACGTCCAATCTTGCGGACCAGATCTAAGCCGTCGGAGTATCAAGGGAGCGAGATGAATTCAACAAAGCGAGAAAAGGGAGAAGAGGGAAAAAAGGCTCAAAGCAAGAACTTGACCCTTCCAATCCAACCCCGTGACGGCTCGTCCGGTAGTTGCCTCGCGAAAGCACCAGTTGTGCCTTCCTCCTCTTACACCCCCTCACACCCCCTTTTATCGTTGCCCTCTAGCCTCACAAACGCACTCGTGGCTATTTTTGGGTAAATGTTGATGAAGAAAAAGTCCTTGATGCTAGACTGCGGAAAAATGTTGGCCTCGCGAGAAAAAAACAATTTCTTCCTTTACTTTTGATTGTTCGCCTGATCATATCCACGCATGCAACCGTCGTGCCCTCTCCCCTCTCCACTCTCGGATATCAGAGGCCGATGCTCGAAAATATTGAAATTGGGGGATTTGGGTTGCCAGCCATGACGTGGCAAGGCACACCTCGCCCGCGGGAAGAAAATCCGGAAATCCTCAGCCATCGAATTCGCGGCGTCTGCGCCTTGGCTTGGGAAGGGGAGGGCCGGCAACCTCGAGGACTTCCAGGTTCGATTCCCCAGACTATCACTTCCGTTTCCCCAACTCCTCCCCCACCATGGGCCGGCGGTGGATGGGGATGGTAGCTCGAGGTGTTTGTGGCGTCACATGCCCTTGCAGCCATACTCGAGAGTAATCGGCAAGCCCACGCAGCTCTAGGTGCTGCGTACACTTGTTCGATTGGCTGCATTGGTTGCCTCTTGTTCGTCCTTCACACCCTTTCCCGGCTCAGGTTCCTGGGAAGTGCAGCTGCCCTGCAGCCTGCGAGGTGGGCGCTCTGTCGCCCACACGCAGAATACACGAGAAAGAAGAAAAAGAAAAAGAGCCTAGTAACCTCGTAGCGCAGGTTCGACTGGGCCCTCAGGCAGAGAGATGCTCGCACTCACACGGCTCTTGAAGCGTCGGGCCCGTGTTCCGATACCGCCGTTACAACTCTGGATGAAAGCCTCCCGACGGTTCTTGTGGCGGCGATACGCTGATGCAACGAGGGCTACGTAGCATACACCTTGCATCTCGCCCACTTCGCCTACTTCATCGGCGGTACACTAAGGACCTTCTCGAACGGCGTAACCATTCCGACCTAGCCACACGCCTCCAGGTCCAAGTTGCAGGTAATATCTCTCGCCCTTTCGGGCTTACAATGGAGAAAACGCGCCTTCGCTTCCGATTCGCTCCCTTCCCCTCACGACCTTCAGGGCTTCGGCTTGACGGGGTCCCCGTATTCTTCTTTGCCTACTCCCGATCCCCAATCTCTCATGGCCCGCACCTGCAAGTTATCCTAGTGGTGCAACATTGTGGCCCATCAACCTCCTCAAATCTCCTTGGTGCTAACGCCGCCCCCGGAGGAAGTTATGCCCCCAGACTGCATTGTGTCCAATCAAGACCTTTGGCGGTATGCATTGTCGAGTCAAGAGACTGTCCTGCAACTTGACAGACGGCATTCCTTTCCGACAAGACCATAATTAGCCTCCCGTGCCACCAGACGAGGAGACAGGTCTTGAGGTTCCTTGGTCATGTGTCCCAGATCAGCTCATGCGAGGGCTTGCTTAACCATATGACGTCGATACCTAGCTTCAGAGAGCGAGTCTGACGATAGGGGCATGCTCTCCTCTCTAAACCATGAAAGACGAGAAAATTTTTCTTCCCATTCCTTTCGCCTTTTCGTCTCTCAATCATCCAGCACTCGCCTCCTCCTCTCTTTCTTATTCCTCGTTGTTATTCTACTCCTACCTGCCTAAGGCCGGTGATCCCCAGGCCTACTAATCTTTGGTGGACATGTTGGCAGGAAAGGCAGCTACATTCTCACCAGCATCTACCTCGGTAGGCTCTGATACAAACATACCCCAAGGACTCACAGGTACGGCGTGGTCTGGCTGGTTCTTCGACTGAGATACAAATGCCCTCAACCCCAACGATTCTAGATATTGACGGTGGACATGGCGTTGGTACGTCTATGAGACATGCTTGATTCGCATGTAAGAGAGACCTTATCCCGTCACTGTCTCAGAACGGCAACGTCAACTGACAAAGAAGAAGTAAAGAGCCGTTCATCTCGCATACGACGCCCTCGACTATAAATCACTTTATCTTGGTCAGGCTCTGATCCGCCCTCCTCATGTGGTCAATGCATTGGTCGACCCATGACGCCGAGGTTTGGCACCTCCAGTC